TACTTTCTTTTGTTTTGCTTACATGAATTTTCAATCTGTCAGACAGTTTGGTTCTTTTCTTCTATCACTTATGCCTCAGATTTTACTGTTTTGATGCTTTATAACACAGTATTCCTTTCCTCTGGAAACAGTTGAGCAACACTTCCTACCTTGAGGTCAAAGAACCTCTTTGAGATCTTTCAATGGAATTCAGTACACTTCAAAACCAACAACAACAAAAATGCTTTACCAAGTCTGTAAGTCTTCTAACAAACAAAACAAAACAATATAAATATTTCACACATTATTCAATATTGTATACTACTATTTACTGTAGACAGTTCCCGACAAACATGCCACACTGGAGAGAATTCTCCCTTGAAGCTGAAAAATCTATCAGACCTCAGTTTAAAAATGGAAGTCCTATAACTGAAGTAACATGAAACATGTTGTCTTTGGATGCAACTGGTGAGTTCAGTTTTGCACAACAGGCTAAGTTATCTTTTTCTTTACTTGGTTACCAATTAAGAAAATAAATCAAACATCAGCCAGACATAATACTGTTCCTCATATGGGAAGCATTTCACCATGTTTCCTCTTCATAATGTCAGAACATGTCTGCAGTTCTCTTGCCTTAATCTTGCCCAGTCATTTATTGACATTCAAGTTGAACCTACACACTGACAATTTACTTTGCAGTACAGAAAACAATGCACTCAGTTACAATATTTTCTTGAACACAGTGTACCTGGCATCTTTCAGACTGCATCATACATTCTCGTCTCTATTTGAACAAAGGTTACACACTTGATTAAAATACAAAGAGGTAACTTAACAAGTAACTGCAATTCTTTAATACATATTGTATGCAGCCACATTAGCATTGCCAGTGTTTATTTTACATGTACTTAAAAAGGAGAGTTGTGTGGTTTTTTTTTTTTACTGTACTTACACAGTACACTCACATTTTAGCTTTCTTCATGCAGAAAATAGAAAGAGCTAAATATGCAAGAGAAACCTCAGTTTCTCTCCAGAGACAGAAGTCCCCAACCCCAATACAGTGAAAGAGAGAGAATAAAGCTTGACACCAAATGTACATATAGACCGTATCTATTACTTATTAGTTTTTGGTGACACAGCTATTAGAAGCAAGATAGCACTTGAAACATCAGGTCAGCCTGCAACTCAGATGCACAATGCTCTTGTTTAAAAATAACAGAACAACCACAGCGCTGAAAGTAAAATGTAGAGAACACAACTCCAAAATACACAAAACAATGTACTTCACATAATGAATTGTAACAACGTGTTCATATAAATCCTGGTTAAGGAATGGAACACCTTACCACAGATCACTGTCAATGCTAAACATTTACACAGATTCAAAACCAGTCTGCATGTATTCATGGAAGTAATTAACTGTACAAGCTTATGTGGGTTCAGAAAAGTTCTTCAGCCACAGTCAGTGGGTGAGAATGTTGCGGAGGGAGTAACTACAGGTTTCAGGATATGATTTCCCCTAATCTCTTCCCCAGAATTTGTTATTGATTAATGTCAGCAACTGGACTAGGCAGACATCTGGTCTGAATTAGTATAACTGTTGCCTTGTGGCAACAAGGAAAACCAGGGTAGGAGTCAGGACAGGGTTCCAGAATTATGACTTCAAAATGGCAGTATGGGGAACTGAGTTCACTGATTTAGTAGCAAACAGCTGTGGAAACACGCTGTAGCACAAACCTCAAGATCATGGAAATTTCTAAACCTTTCTTTAGCGCTTGATCCTCTTCTGTCCTCAGTACAGACGCTTATGAGGATCCAGAGGTGACAGGAGGAAAGCATCTGTGTAGGACAAATATAGTCGAAACTAGGATTCAAAGAGGATGTGGTCATTTGATCACGCTAGAGGGAATAAATGACATGCAAAGTAAAATGAATAATCAAACTAGAGAAGGAAAAGTGGGAAAAAAAAACACTACCAGACGTGCATGTTATTTAGCCTTTTTGCAACTTCCCAAGAGACATGGCAAGCAAGCAATAAAAACCATAAAGTTACAAAAAATAGGAAATTAGCATGTTTATAAAAATTTTAGCGATGCAGCAACAAATTCCAGTGCAAAAAATGAAACTCCTGAAACCACACATTGTTTAATTACACAGTAAGTTAGGCTGATACTGTCATGCACAGCTTCAACCTAAATGCAATTTAAGAATTCCAAATGTCTCCGTTTGCATTTTTTTTAATCTTCATTGTATTCAGAAGATCATTCCTCCTAACTCCCCCTTCAGAATAGGATCTTCAACTTTTAAAAGTTCTTCAATTGTCATTTTGTGATAAAAGGCCAAGCTTTTGTTCATAATTTTAAAAACTGGGTCCTTGTCCTTTTATTCCATATACATACTACTATTACATCCATGTGATTAAAAACTAATACTGACAACATCTGTAGGCTTGAATAACTAAGAGTGCATGACATAATCTTCATATTTGCAGTTTCTTTTAGGAGGCCAGAAGGAATGACAAGCAGCATACAGTCCCTGACACTTCATTTCTGTCTATGTTCAGCAGGTTCCTGTTTGAGGTCTTCTGCTCCTTTGGCCATTACAGATATAACGTACAAGCAATTCTCTCTCAAAGCAAGTCCATAAGAGGATGTACGAAGTTTAAAATAAATTTGTATGTATACATTTAAATAAACTTAAAATAAAATCACAGGTTTGTTGGTGAAAACAGCAGATGCATTCTACAGTCTAGTATTAGTGTCTTAAAGTTACATTATCCAATGTACAGTATGCCACAGGAAATCAATTTGTAATTTCCAAGTCAGTCCCATTGGCATTCTTAGCAGAGAATTAAGAAATTAGCAAAACAAAAAACACACCTTATTAAAAAAAAAAAAAAAAAGCAATTTCAGGAAAGGCAGAAGTAGGGAAAAAGTTACCTTACTTGTTGTCTGCAAGTATTTTCCTTTAAACACTCTGCAGACTCAGCTTTCACTGTGCAGAATGCAGACATCTTTCCAAGTTCTTTAAATCAGGAAGACAATGAAGTAAAAAAATTGATTACTACAACATCCTATCACTACTCAGAATTCTGTTAGAAAGCTACATTAATTTGTTAAGAGCTAAGACAGGCTTAGATGAAACAACAAACCACTACAGAATTTAATTATATGAAGGATTTCACATTTCTCACCAATCTAGCTTATCTGAGCAGGATTTTATCATGTCCACCAGAGCAGATCAAACCAATGTTAATCCACTGCTTATGATAGATTTGAAAATAAGTATCAGCTTTTCAAAGTCAGAGGCTATATGGAAAGTAGTTCTAAACTTAATATAAATGACTATTTACAACAACATTTAAATATATTTAAATATATGTATGTATTATATATATGTATTATATACATTATATATATATATATATAATTACTTGAGCTGAGGAAAGAATTCCACAAAAAAAATAAAACAAATTTCTTCTTTGTTCTTTGACGTATCAAAGACATGCCCACATGGTAGATACTCTCACTAAGAACATTATATTAGAAAAAAAAAAAAAAAATCAAGGTTTCTACTTCCTCTGAAGTGTGGGTATTTTTATAGTTTACCACATGCACAAAACTTTGTAACTTCAAAAGGATACAAAATTTGCCCTGAATGTATGTACTTCCCCTCTCTTGAAGTTTGTTACTTTATTCATTCATGCCACTAATTTTAGAATCTTAAGACATAAACTGTTCAGTTATATCTTTCTTCTAAGAAAACTCAGTAATTTATTTTGATTAAAAGCACACCTTCTGTAAAAGCATAGAGATTAAATGCAAAAAATAGATATAAATTAAATAAAAAGAAAAAAAAATAGAAATTAAAATTAAAAAAAGACTTCTAAAGGTACAGAATCTATAGTATTCAAAGTCATGTCAAGGCATTGTCACTTTTGAAAAATGTTTAATTTGTTGTCTGCCCATCATTAACCACTAGATCTTCCTGCTCTTCTCTAGATTAAGTCATCCTTTAGGATTCAGTGAAAGACACTTGAAGACTTCAATCTACTTTAGATATTCCTGGAAGGAAAGGATTTAAATTCCTACGGAGTACAATGCTTTTTCCAGATGCAGATCTCTTCTCTATTTCCACATTTTTGCAGCACGCTCTTTAAAACGAGGGCACCAAAACTCCTCAAAGTATTTATTTCAGCGTGATACTAAACCAAAGACGACCCAGTAAAAAGAGAAGTAAGGAAATAAGAGCCGATGATTTCAGAGCAATCCTGAAACGCCCCAAACTGGCGGCGCTCAGAGCCCCGCGAGCAGCTGCACTGGCACTCGGATGCCTCACTCAGACTCCTTACACAAGGAGCACTGTTGAAAACAGCCTTGCAAACGTGTAGCACACGCTTCAAACTGGCAGTGCTTTTTTTTTGTTTTTTTGTTATTTCCCCCCTCAGCAGCGTTTTCACTTTTCGCGCTCCCTCCCCCCCTTCCCCACCACCCAGCCAACGCGACCATCGGTGCGGTTTGGCGTTCTGCACCGCGAACCGTTTATCCCGGGCTCATTCTCCCCCTCCTGACAGGGCGCTTCTCAGACCGAGTCCCCTCACCGCAAAGCGCCAACACGGCAGGCAGCGCAGCCACCGGCGGCCGGGACGGAGCTGGGGGGGGGGAGCAGCGACACTTTATTAAACACCAGCGGAGAGGAGAGGAGGGCAGAGGGGCGCCCAGCAGGACCGCAGCCCCCTCCCCGCCTCAGACCCACGGGGCTCCCCTCAGCCCGCTCCCGCCCAACGAGGCGTTAACGGCCGGCCAACGGCCGTGCGCGCGCGCGCGCCGCTGGCAGCGGGGGCGGGCACGCGCATTCCCCCGTCTTTTCCTCTCCTCCCCCCCCCCGCGGCGCGCTCACCTTCCTCCTCGCCTCCCCGCCCCGGCCACACCCGCCCCACCTGCGGCGCATGCGCGGCCCTCGGCGGGGCAAGAGAGAGAGCGGGCGGGGTGCGGGGTGGGGGGGGGCTGCCGCCCCTTCCCTCCGCGCATGCGCCGGGCTCGCGTCGCCGTGGCAACGGGACGCGGTGCCAGGCAGGGCGGGGGCGGCCGGCGCTGATGGCGGGGGTGCTGTGCGGGTGGCTCAACGGGGAGGTGCGGCTCTCCCGCAGCCTCGGTGAGTGCAGCCGGGACATAAAGCCTGCGGCCGGGGAGGGGAGCCCCCGGGATGAGTCCCGCTGCTGTGCCCCGGAGCCTGGTGGTTTGATGAGGAGAGCCCTCAGGAGGGGGGCGGGTGGCCTTCGGGTGGGTGGGGGGGGGGGGTGCCAGGCGCCACAGACCCTCAGGAGGTGTGAGGAGAGGGTGGATATATACACATATATAAGCATATATGCACAAATATATACATGTATGTACATAAATATGTTTATCTGTGTCTGCAGGGGACACAGTTCCTTTAATCACTGCCCCGTTTGGGGATGCTGGCTTTGGAGAAGCAGCTGTTCCACGAGAGCCAGCACCTCTCCGTGGAAGCCCAGCTTTAAAAACTCTGTGTTTAACACTTTCCAGCAGAAAACTTCACGGTTATCCTTTATCGCCGTTGTCTCAATGACAGCCGCGACAAAGTTTGCAGAAAGCTCAGCAATTGTTGTTCGTAGCTCGTGCTATTGTCTGGGTGACAACCACGACAAAGTTTTAATTTTCAGCACCGAAAAGGAGAATTAGTTGATTGTGTGAAGCTGATGTTGCAAAATAACCGCACTGAAAGAAAACCTATTACTGGCTTAAAAAGGCAGCTCCTAAAATTCTTTTGAAATATTTAATAAGGCTTGTACTTGATTTTGTCATAACAACAATAGTGAGTAATATTAAAATTAAAGTCTGAATTATTTTAATTATGTTATTCTTTCTGGGAAAAATAAACAACCTAGTTCCAGGATCATTTGCTGAAGAATTTTCTAATGGCTACCTCTTTGGAGAACTTCTACACAAATATGGCCTTCAGGATGACTTTAATAAATTTTCACAGAGCAGGTCAGTACATACAGATAACATGTCTGTTGCAGAAATCAGACAAAATATTTATTTTTCAGTTGGAATTTGCTAGTGCAGAGGGGAGAAGGCATGTGGAATTTACCAAAATTTAATGCAACTATCAGTGTAAGTCAAAAACTACTTCTATTTGATATGCAGCCAAGCTTCCTATTTCCAAAGTTGATCATACTACTTTACAAACATTACACATTTTGATTGTAACTACGGTAGCAACAGGTTAGATCAAAGGTTCTAGAAGTCGTAGAATCATAGAAGTCCTTCAGAATGTCTTTAACGCTGGAGATTCTGACATTGTCCCCATAAGTTGAATGAAGACTGGGATACTCAAGTCTGGTATGGTGGTGAACATTATATCTTCCGTAAAATAGAAGTGGTGGTGATGTGTTGTGAGCCTCTGAGTAAAACCCTGGGAAAAGATAATATAGTAATTTATACATTTACAAATAATCTGATGGAATATCCATGGTGAAGAATGAAAAAAAAAAAAAAAAAAAGCAACCCACAAAACAGAAAGGTGAAAAATTTGCAGGTCTGTGAGGCTTGGTATGTTCATGAGGTAGTTCATGGGGTTCCCTGGCTTATGTGTCATTATGGCAAAAGATGGACCTTGGTGCACACATAGAACAAGTGTGCCAGGCTATGCATCCTCTTCCCATTACTTCTGAATCTCTTTTGTGTTCTCTGCACTTCTCATTTATTTGTACCCTTTCCTATTCAAGTCCTACCAACTTGTAGGAGAGAAGCTTGAGTGCAGCTAATAGGCAGACAGCAGTTTCTGGTTTCTCTTTCTCAAAATTCTAGATCATTTGGGAATATTTCAGAATACTGAAGCACTCCTGGGGGCTCTTGGAAGAACATTAGTGTACCCACTGATAGCTTAAGGAGGCTTTTACTTCTACAAGCACTAGCAACATCTAAAAAGCTCTATCAACTATTAAGCTGTAGGGTAGATAGGGTACAACTATAATGTAAAAGGATACTCCGAGCTTTTGTTCCCAGATGACTTCTCATTAGGGAAGATCAAGCACCCTTTCAACAGATGCAAGGAGAGGTTAGAAACTCTGCTGAGACAGCGAATGCATTCTCAGCAGATGTGGTGATGCACAATAGGGTGTGATCTGGAGAAACAACCCCAAAATGTCAGACCTCAAATCAGATTGAACTTCAGAGAAGGGAGACAATTTTTCGTGTCTCAGGCTTTAGGGTGTCATGGTTCATCTTCTCTGAGACACTGCAGATACAGAAATTTGACCCTTCAGCTATCTGAGGGAGAGGCAGGCAGAGTCTGTGTTTGTAGGGTTGGGAGATGGAGGTAACTGGCAGCTTGTGCCTTCTGGCGAGAGAAGAAAGGCTCATGCTTCACCTGTTGATCCACAGCTGCAAAACAGTTTCTATAGCAGATGAGAGGCTGGGGACTCAGAGGTTGTGCATCGGGGGTGGCTAATCTTGAACACACAGGATCACCAAGAGGAAGCGCTAAGTAATCACAGTGGGAGATTTTCTTTTACAGATGGAGGCCCCCATCTTCTGTCCTCGTGCAAGCTAGAAAGGTTTTCTACTAGCTAGAGGCTTGAGTCCAAGACTGCTCATCCAGCCGTTGGATTGTTACACATGCTGCTCTTCTGTGTGGGCACCAAGGATGCTGTCAGGGAGGCCTGGAGTATATCAAGAGTGGCCATGTGTTTCTGGAGTAAAAGTGAGAGAGGTGTGGGGCTCTAGGCACTTTTTTCCTCAATTCTGCAGGTGAGGTGGAAGAACCTAGTGGGGAGTGGATGGATCCTACAGGTCAACAACTGCTTGTGCAGCTGCTGTAATCAGTAGGGCTTTGTTTTTTACAATCACAGGATCCTCTCCGAAGATGGAGGGCTGCTAGGAAGAGATGGGAACCACCGCTCTTTGAGTAGGAAGAAGTACCTAAGGTCTTCTTGAGACAGCTGCAAGAATTCTCATGTTCACAGATCTTAGTCTGAATAGGAGACTTTAAACAAGTTGATATCTGCTGGAAAGGACAGACACAAGCAATCCATTAGGATACTGGAGTGCATTGATGATAACTTTCGGAGACAGGTGGTTGAGGGGCTGAAGAAGGGACATGTTCTGCTAGACCTAATATGTACAAACAAAGGAGGTCAGGGGCAGCACTGACTGCAGTGACTGTGAGATGGTGACCTCAGGATTCTGAGAGGAGGGAACAAGCTGAAAACAGTATCACAACTATAGGTTTCAGGAGAGAAGCTTGTTAAGGGACCTGCTTGGAAGAATCCTATACAAATCAGTCCTGGAGAGCAGAAGTGTCCAGGACAAGTGGCTGAATTTTTATTCAAAGGTCACCACCTTCAAGTATGAGAATAGTCCATCTCATTGTGAAGAAAACCAATGAAGGCAGCAGGAGGCATGAATGGATGAACAAGGATCTCTTGACTAAACTGAAACACAAAAAGAAAGCATACATGTACAAGATGTGGAAGCAGTGTTGGGTGGACAAGGACTTGACAAACAGTCTCTGAGTGTGCATGGGAGGCTTTAGGGAAGCCAAATCCCATCTGGAGTTAAAACTGGTGAGGGGCAGGAAGGGAAAACAAAAGGATTTTTACAGGTATTTCCACAGCAAAATGAAGACTAGGGAAAACATTACTGCTGAATGGGGCACAGGATCTAGTGGGGAAAAAAAAAAAAAAAGTTTGAGATACTTAATGTCTTCTCTCTCTGTCTCTGCTGGTAAAACTTGCCTTCAGGAATCCCAGTTCCATAAGACTAGCAGGAAGACTTCTGGTGGAAGAGGATTAGCTTAAGGAACATTAAAAATGGTACAAATACACAAGTCTGTGGGATGTACCCACAAATGCTGAGGGACCTGGCTGATGTCACTGCTAGGTCACTCTCAATTATCTTTGAAAGGTGATGGTGACTGGGGGAGATTTCTTAGGACTGGAAATGTCACTCCTCTCTTCAAGGAAAGCAAGGAGGAATTGGTCAAGAACAAGATAGTCAGCCTTGCCTCAGTTCCTGAAAATTGATGGAACTAATGAGTATGGGAACATTTTCCAAGCATATTAAGGACAAGAAGATGCCTGGGAGTTATCACCGTGGCTTTATGAAGGGGAAATCATGCCTAACTAACCTGATAACAGCCTTCTGTAATGAGGTGATGGGCTCAGTGGAAGAGAGAAGATCAGTATATGCTGCTTATTTTGACTTTTGACATCCTCCAACAAAGTTTGAATTTTGAGTTATTGATCGTGAGGAATATGGGCCTGGCAAAGAGCAAAGTCAGTACCCTGAACTTCCAAAGAACAAAATTCCAGCCATGTAAATACCTAGTGGATGGGATCACTTGGGACACTGCTCCTTGGGACAAAGAAGCAGAATGGAGCTAGCCGCTCTTTAAGGATGTTTTCCTTACAGCACAAGAGCTCTCTGTTCCCCATGTAGGAAAGCAAGCAGGGAAGGCAGGATGGGATGGCTGAGCAAGGACCTGCTGGTCAGGCTGAGGTGCAAGAAGGAAATGCGCAGGCAGTGGAAGCAGAGACATGAAGCATGGGAAGAGTACAGGGTTGCTGTCTGGGTGTGCAGGGGTGGGATCAGGAAAGCCAAGGCACAGATGGAACTGAGCTTGGCAAGGGGTGCAAAGAACAACAAGAAGGGATTCTGTAGGTACGTGGGCCAGAAAAGAAAGGCTAAGGAAAGTGTGTCCCCTCTGATGGATGAGAAGGAAGAATTGGTAATGACAGACCTGGAGAAGGCTGAAGTGCTCAACTTCTTTACCTCAGTCTTCACAGCCAGTCAGGCTTCCCATGTCTCTCATTCCCCTGAACCTGTACCTGAGGGTGGGGGAGCAAAGTCCCTCCCAGCTTAAGTGAAGAGCAGGTTTGTGATGACCTGATGAAACTGAACAGGTACGAGTCTATGGGCCCTGCTGAGAAGCATCTCAGGGTCCTGAGGGCACTGGCTGATGGAGTTGCCAAACCTCTCTCCATCATATTTGAAAAGTCCTGGCAGTCAGGTGAAGTCACTGGTGCAGTGTCAAGGCACGTGCAGGACAAGGAGGTGATCTGAGACAGCCAGCATGGCTTCACCAAGGGCAAGTCATGCCTGATCAATTTGGTGGCCTTCTATGGTAGGGTGACTGCATCAATTGTTTGATGTCATCTACCTAGACTTCTTTAAGGCCTTTAACATGGCCCAACACAACATCCTGATCTCCAAATTGAAGAGAGGTGGATTTGAAGGGTGAACCATTCTGTGGATAAGGAATTGGCTTGATGGCCACACACAGAGAGTGGTGGTCAATGTCTCTATGTCCAGGCAGAGGCCAGTGATGAGTGGTGTCCCCCAGGGACACCGAGATGGGTGCTGTTTAGTATCTTTAACAGATATTAAAGATAAAATTATCTTTATCTTTTATCTTGTCTTGGGACCAATGCTGTTTAATATCTTTATCAACAACATAGATGGTGGGATTGAGTGCACCCTCAGCAAGCTTGCAGATGACACCAAGCTGAGAGGTACAGTCAGTGCAACAGAAGAAAGGGTGCCATCCAAAGGGACCTGGACAATCTTGAGAAGTGGGCCCATGTAAAACTAATGAGGTTCAAGTCAAAGAAGGAGGTGCGGCACCTGGGTTGGGGCAAGCCCAGACATGAGGACAGAGAAAAACTCATTGGGAGAAAAACCTCACTGAGAGCAGCCCTGCTGCTCTTGGGGGCTCTTGTGGACAAAAAGCTTGACACGAGCCAGCAGTGTGTGCCTGCAGCCCAGAAGGCCAACTACATCCTGGGCTGCAGCAACAGAGGGGTGGGCAGCAGGTGGAGGGAGGGGATTGTGCCCCTCTGCTCTGCCTTGTGAGGCCCCACCTGGAGTGCTGCGTTCTTGCCTGGGGCCCCCAGCACAAGAGGGACGTGGGGCTGTTAGAGCAGGTCCAGAGGAGGGCCATGAAGACGATCAGATGGCTGGAGCTGCTCTCTAGTGAAGAAGGGCTGAGAGAGCTGGGGGTGTTCAGCCTGGAGAAAAGAAAGCTCTGGGGAGACCTCGTTGCAGCTTTTCAGTACTTAAATGGTGCTTATAAAAAGATGGAGTGTGAATTTTTACTTGGGTAGATAATGACAGGACAAGGTGGAGTGATTTTAAACTGAAGGAGGGGAGATTTAGGTTAGATGTTAGGAGGAAATTCTTCACTGTAGAAGTGTGGTGAGGCACTGGTACTGGCTGCCCAGAGAAGCAGTGGCTGCCTCATCCCTGGAGGTGTTCCAGACCAGGTTGGATTGGGCCCTGGGCAACCTGATCTAGTGGCTGGCATCCCTGCCTATGGCAGTGGGGTTGGAACTAGATGGTCTTTAATGTCCCTTGGACCCCTTCCAACTCACGCCATTCTATGATGAAACAGATGAGTTGTGGTCGAGGGAGGTGAAACGAATGAAGTATGGACTAGGGAAGTGGCCAGTGAGGTGGACTGAAAACTGGCTGAACTTCCAGGTTGTTACCAGAACCACAAAGTGCAGCTGAGAAGTAGTGATTAGTAATGTACCCAGGGGTCAATTCTGAGACCAAAACTGTTTAACATCTTTATTATCGACTTGCATGATGAGATAGAGTGTAACCTCAGTCAGTCTGCAGACCACAAAACTGGAAGGAGTGTTTGATAGAGCAGATGGTTGTGGTTGCCATTCAGAGGGACCTTGATGGGCTGGAGAAAAGGGCTGTCAACAGTCTCATGAAGTGCAGCAAAGGGAAATGCAAAGTGCTGTATCTGGGAAGGAAAGTTCCTCTGAATGCATCAGTTTAAACTGGTGGCCAACTGTCTTGAAAGCAGCCGTGCAGAGAAGAGGCCCTGGACGGCAACAAGCTGACTGTGAGTCAGCCATGTACACTTGCTGCAAAGAAGGCTGACAGCATCCTGGACTATGTCAAGAAGAATTTTGCCATCAGTTTGAAGATAAAGATCGCCATATGAGGAAGAACTTCTTTACTGTGAGGGTGACAGAACACTACAGCATACTGCCAAGAGATGTTGTGGAGTCTCCTTTGAAGATATTCAAAACCTGCCTGGATGTGATCCTGTATAACATGCTCTAGGTGACCCTGCAGCTGGGTTAGACTAGATCTCTGGAGGTCTCTTCCAACCTCAACCATTCCCTTCTTCTGTGAAGGAATCATAGAATCATAGAATCATAGAATATCCTGAGTTGGAAGGGACCCTTAAGGATCATCAAGTCCAACTCTTGACACCGCACAGGTCTACCCAAAAGTTCAGACCATGTGACTAAGTGCACAGTCCAATCTCTTCTTAAATTCAGACAGGCTCGGTGCAATGACCACTTCCCTGGGGAGCCTGTTCCAGTGTGCAACCACCCTCTCTGTGAAGAACCCCTTCCTGATGTCAAGCCTGAATTTCCCCTGCTTCAGCTTTACCCCGTTCCCGCGGGTCCTGTCACTGGTGTTAATGGAGAAAAGGTCTCCTGCCTCTCGACACCCCCTTACGAGGAAGTTGTAGACTGTGATGAGGTCTCCCCTCAGCCTCCTCTTCTCCAGGCTGAACAGGCCCAGTGACCTCAGCCTAGGAGGCTCTACTCAGCCCTGGTGAGACCTTATCTGAAATGCTGTGTCCAGTTTGGGGTTCCCAAGTACAAGAATGACCTGGATATATTGGAGGAGGTCAAGGAAAATGCCTGAACAATTATTAAGGTCCTGAAATAACCAACATGAGAGAAAGGAAGGTTGTATTCTTTACCATGATATTCCATGACTTCATCAGGATATTTTGATACTTTCTGCCTTCTCTTCCTTTTACATTTGCTAGTGACATAGATCCTTTAACAGCTATTAACTGATACAATAATACAATAACTGAACTGATACAATATTTCCTCAGTTTCAAGATACTCCTCCTGCACATTAAAGGCAATTATTTCTGTGTAATAGTCATTATATAGTCCTGGAATCTTGGAAGAACCCATGCTTGACAAATCTTACTAGTTATCTATAAAGTAATACTTTTAATTTTTGAGTGTTCTATATTATTCAAGGGTCATTTGGTAAACTGTCATCACTCTAATATGTTTTAGTACAGATCAAGGGAAGATCGTAACTACTGGTGTGGCAGTGGAGGAAGTAAGGGCAACTGTAATCTAGAGAGTAATAACTGAAAAGAATGGGTGGTCATTTTGATGACCTTCTCAAGCTTTGCTTAACTATATTAGCTGCTTGTGTTGTGCAGTTCTTTATATAGAACATAGGCATATATATAGTCATAAAAGGAAGAGAATAATAATTGAGAAAGTGGTACTACCTTTTTGAAAGGAACACTGCTGGAAAACATCTTCCAGTTAGTCTGTCCGTATTTGAAAAATTAAATACTATAGTTTTGTCTTATCTCTGAAAATGATCTTGAGATAAGGTTTAGAACATCTTTGTATTATCAAGCATGTTTAAGAATTTCCATCTGATCTGTTTACACAATAAAAAATTAAGAGGTCATGTCACCACAGTTTTTCAATGCATCCAAGATTTCTGACAGTAGGTGTCACCTTAATATTGAATCAATAGCAGAAAGATGTTCAATAGCTGTAAGCTAAATTTATATATAATTGTATAAGAAATAAGGCATGGATTGTTATAGTGAGATTGATTAACTCCAGGACTGTTTTATCTAGGAGTATTGTGAATTCTGAGAGACCAGGAGGTCTTCAAGTTAAAATTCAACATTTTTGTAGAATTATGGTGTTGCTCTACTGACTTCAAAACCTTTTTGGTTCATGTAAATGAACTATTACGAAGTTAAGTGATAGAGCAGCGTAGAAATGTTCTGACTCAGCCAGTAGTTATGGATTTGCTGAACGAAATCTGATAGCATGTTAATTGTGAAATATTGATAATTTATTTTTCTTCTTTTTGGCCTATCTACTGATCTCAAGTGTTTCCACAAGAGAATCTATACATCAAGAAAAATAATTTATCTGGAATCCACCATTTCTTTTCTGAATGTAAATTTTGCTCACTGGGACCACAGTCTTTATTTTTCAACACTACACCGAGCCATATGTCCATTTCTTTTTATTGAGGAAAAAAAGTGACAAGGTGTTGTGAGGGTTAATAGATTACATAGGTGTTTTTTGTTTGTTTGTTTGTTTTGTTTTTAATTTCCTGTATTTTGGCTGGTTAGAGCTCACATGGATTGATACAGTTTAATAAACTTCATTCTAGTTCCTTTTACCTTTTGTGGATGGTATACTTTTAGCTGCAATTTGGAGTAAGCTTTTGCTGTCAGTTGTACTTCTTGTGTGCATGTATCAAGATTTATATAACCCAATGTGTCTTCGATTTTTCCCCCAAAGTTATTCCTAGTAGGCCAATCTATTAGCATGTACTACAGGATAAAATCTAAAACAAAGTGTGTATCACATCACTCTAAGAAAGTCCATTGTGTTTTTTTTTTCCACTTCCTATCTTGATATGAGATAAATGTGATGACAATGTTTATTGCAGCAAGTTGGAATTGAAAGTACATTTATGTTTTGTTTTTTTTTTTCTTTGTTTTTAATCACATAGGGTTGCAAGTGCAAAACTTAACAATTTTTCTCTCCTGGAACCCACGCTTCACCTCCTTGGTGTACAGTTTAATGAGAATGTGGCCCAAGACATCATGACAGGGCAGCATGGGGCTGCAACAAAGCTTTTGTATGAATTGTACATTGCTTTAGAAAAAAAGAGAAAAACAAAGCTCACTGCAGTAGCCATGGAAGCAATGAGACCTACAGGACCTGCAAAGCTCAAGTCTATCGGAAGTGTTTTGTATCAAGAGGTAGCTAACTATACCAATTTTGTATAAATGTATAGGAAAATAAGGTAGCTTATTTACATGTATCTCTCAAGCATATTTCATGCTTCCCCTCCCTGCTTTTTAGATTTCTTGTTCAAAACCAGTGTGCTTCTATGGAAAAGATGAAATCCTTTGCCATGTCCTATACATAGACACTGGGATTGCCTGGTTTATCTGTGATTCATGAGGATAATGACCATCTGTGTTCCTTTTCGTTCCTTTGTTTTGTGTTCCTTTGTTTTGGCTTATTCTGTCTTACCTGCTCTCCAGCCTTAAAATATGTATAACAACAAAGACTATAAGTTGTTCAGTGGCTGCTGTCATACTTATTTGATCAGTACAGATTGCAGACAGCTTTGGAGTCGAGGTATGAAATTAGGTATAAATGTTTCCTGAAGGGGAAATTAGTTTGTGTTGGTTGTCCATGGTGACTTGATTCCTTCTGTTACATGTCTCCCCATATATTTATACTAGACTCCAGCTGGCCAAGTAACTGTATGCTGAATAATGCAAAGAGGAAAATAAAAAGGCAAAGAGAGTGTCTTGAGAGGAAGGCATTATTTGTATAGTACATTCTGTTAAGGACATTCTTCTCATCTTCAACAGTAACGTTCAGCATGTGCAGAGCATTATTTGTTACCAGGATGAGCAATCTTTAAGAAGCTATTCATCACGAATCAAATTCAGCTGGGTGAAACTTCACATTTTTTCTAGCACACATCCTAACAAAACATAAAGTGTACCAACAAATGCAGAGAGAGCACCAAACAGCCACGACATCCTTTCACATATATGAATAGCTTAAAGAAGATAAAGCAACTGAGATTGCTCCTGTGAATAGATACATTCATCATAAAATCATTAAGGTTGGAAGGGAGCTCTGGAGGTCACATAATCCAGCCACCCTGCTCCTCTAACCAGAGTTAACTATGTCAGGGTGCTCAGGACCTTGTCCAGTTGGTTCTTGAATGTCTTCAAAGATGGAGACTTCATAAAATATCTGGGCAAATTGTTGAGCAACATTTCCATGAAAAAAAAAATTTCTTATGTTTAAGTTGAATGTCTTAGATTTTCATTTGGCATTGTTCAAGTTCAATTCTGCAAGTTCTTTTCAATAGAGCTGGTCCTTTATTTAAAAAACAAAACAAAACAAAAACAAACCAACAAACAACAACAACAACAAAACACAAAAAAAAAAACCACAACTCCACCATGTTTAGATACTGTTCTGCGGATATTAACACCAGAAAACATAGTTTGAAATAACTATTGTAAAATTATCACATTTAAGTACAATTTCTCTTACTGTTTCTGACTTGACTATCTTCAAATGTAATTTCAGCGTTTGAAATCTTTAACTCCACGTCAGGCAGATTTGCAGCTACAGCAGGTTTCAGAGCATTTTGAAATGAAGTCTAAAGCAATGGAAGATAAAATAGCTCGTATACATATTTCAGAACAACAGAAAGTTCAGAAGCTTCGAGAGGAACAAAGAGCCCAAGACATTGAAAAGGTGACTAATTACATTTAATAGAGACTTCTGAAGAAGTATTTTCTTAAGATCACGTACAGAGTTGTGCTGCCCCATCATGTTTACAGAAAAGCAAAGAAAGAGGGCGCTCTTAGAAAGCATTGAGGTGGAGATATAAAGCCAATACAGTCTTGTAAGACCATTAAAAAACATTAATATTTCAAAATGACGTCATGTTAAGAGTACATGTATTTGCATGTTTTTATGCAAGAAAAATCTTAAGAAATTTGAAGATAAAGTGTCAATTTCACAACTCTAAGTGTTTAAAGTGTTCTTATAAAGGAGGTTTGTGAAAGTTTTCATTTTAAAGAAAAAGTTGGAGCATTGTTCAGAAGCAGGATAAAGATACAAGGAAGGGGACCTACATGTATAGTGGATATGGCCTCAGTGCATCTTTTAGCTCTGTGTAGATGTTTCCATTAAATCAAAAAGATGAACTATTTTTTTCAGCATATGGGAACACTCTTCCAAAGTACAGGCTGTAGTTTATATAGAAGAATTGGCAGTCAAGGAATTCCTAGTCAAGGAATATTAAGCCACGATGAATTAGAAATTGGTATGGCTAGAATCAAAGAACAAAAGAATGTCCCATGTTGGAAGGGATGTACATGGGTCATTGAGTCCAACTCCTGGCTCCACATAGGACCACCCAAAAATCAACCCATTTGTCTGAGAGCGTTGTCCAAACACTCCTGGAACTCTGATAGGCTTTGGGCTGTGACCACTGCCCTGAGGAACCTGTCCCAGTGCCTGGCCACCCTCTCAGTCAAGAACCTTTTCCTAGTAATCAGTTTGAACATCCCCTGTCCCAGCTCCATGCCATTCCCTCGGGTCCTGTCACTGTCCCCAGAGAGCAGAGCTCAGCGCCTGCCCCTCCGCTCCCTTCGCGAGGGAGCTGCAGGCCACCATGAGGCCTCCCCTCAGCCTGCTCTCTTTGGGCCTCTGGCAAGGGACCTCAGCTGCTCCTCACGTCTTCCCCTCCACACCCTTCACCATCTCTGTAGTTCTCCTTTGAACACTCCAATAGTTTTATGTCCTTCTTATATTGTGTCACTCAAAGCTGCAGGTAGTACCTGAGGTGAGGTTGCAGCAGCACAGTGCAATACCGTGCCTGATGCACCCCAGTGTACAGTTGGCCCTTTTGGCTGTCAGGGTTCACTGTTGACTCACTTTCAACTTTCTGTTGACCAAAACCCTTAGATCCCTTTCTGTGGAGCTGTTAATTAAAAGCGTCTTTCAGTGGTTATTTACATGTAGTTCTTCTGTTGCCACTGCAAGAACAAGAATGGAAATAAATGACTAAGTGACTCTTTAAGTATCTACAAAAGAAAATATGAACAATATCCCAAACATTTTCAAGATTTTTTTTTAAAGATTTTTTTTAAATTCTATTTGATTTTATACATATTTATTTTTTAGATTTCTTTGAATCTTTGTAGAAAAATGTTTTTTTCCCACACAACTCTTCTTTTAACTGCATGTATCTGTAGTGCACTTTAATGGTGTCAATTAAATTTTTGCTAATGCTTAATCATCTGAGACTCAGTATTGAGTGGTAGCATTGCCTCACAGTATGTGTGTTTTTCAGTTTCTGTTCTGAATTCTAACTAGAAACAGGTGCTAGACTAGAGCTAACATTTAATACAACCCTTTAAATGCCTCTCAGGCATTGAGTACAAACTGTTTTTTTTGTTTGTTTGTTTTGTTTTATTTTTTACAGACATGCTTCTATTGCACCTCATCCCTTGTTAACGCAGGCATAGCTGGGAAGGGATGGTTTAGGATAGGATAGGATAGGATAGGATAGGATAGGATAGGATAGGATAGGATAGGATAGGATAGGATAGGATAGGATAGGATAGGATAGGATAGGATAGGTAAGTTTGGTTGGAAGGGACCTTCAAAGATCTTCCAGTCCAACTGCATGGATCAGATTTTCTGATACTGGTACTTAAAATATTTTTTCATTCTCAACTATTGAGAATATGTATTAGCATATTGAAAAGCTGTCAAATGACTCTGTATGTGGAGTGATGCTTTAATTTAAAATGCATCTGTTTAATCATAGAAACATAGAACGGCTTGGGTTGGAAGGGATCTTAAAGATCATCTAGTTCCAACCTTGCCATAAGCAGGGAAAGCAGGGATGCCACCCATTAGATCAGGTTGCCTAGGGCTTTGTCCAACCTGATCTTGAACACCTCCAGGGAGGTGTTCATCCACAACTTTCATGGTATTTTAATGAATCTTTTTTTTTTTTTTTTTTAATAATCATTTGCTATTCTCTCTGTCACTCCTTTATTATTATTATTATTATTATTATTATTATTATTATTATTATTATTATTATTATTATTATTCCTAAAAGATTTTTATTTCCTTATGGGTTAATCACATTTCCTTCATGGGTAAATATATCATGTATTAGGTCTACATAGTATATTTTGTTTCAACTCAAGTATCTGAACACATTATGTTAAATACTCAGCATCGCATAGGAAGAAGGAGACAAAATGAAATAATGGCCAAGATTCAAGCAGCCATTATACAGGTTCCAAAGCCACGACCAAACTACACAATAAAAGCTATTGAAGCCCAAAAATTGCTAAAGAAGAAAAGAGAAGCAGAGGTAACTATCATCTATATTTCATTAATGGTAATTATATGAACTGGGAAAACATTATTTTCTGGAAGCATTTACACTTAGGAATACTGTACTTGTGCCATCTAAAGCTGATGATACAACTTGTGAAATTATATAGAAGACTCAATGTGAACTGGGCAAAATATGTGTGATTCAACATTTGTTACACAGGAAAAATTGTTTTGAAGGAAGAGAAAGTTCTTATTGCATAAATAAATAGATAGATGCTTTTAAATGTAGAGTATCCAAACAGAGTTGCTTGAATAAATATTAAGGATAAATTTAAGCTAGTAAAAGCAGAACATAGACCATAATACGTTATTGCAAAATCCCTGAATAGTGGGAATTATACGAGCTAGTAGAGTCCTGTGCAAACTGTATCTTGCAGGATGGAAAGCTGCAAAAATTTAGGATTTTGTCTGGTGAACATAGGTGTAGATAAGAAAAGGGAAAAAGTAAATAGAAATGAAAAGAAGAAGGAAATAGTCTTGCCTTTCATCTTGATGTAGTTGACGCTCAATGTATTTTCAGTGTAAACTTTTTTGTGGTACTAACATGAAGCATAAATCATTCCCTAGTATTTACTCTGTGAAAAAATAGTTGAAGCTTCCTTACGACACTTTGTGAAGAGAAAAACATTAAATTTTATGTTATTTCTTTAGGACACTTACAAGGAGATTAACAAGTTTGAGAAGTCTATTGCAGGAAGGCTCTCTGCAGTATACAGCCAAGTCTCTGACAGGTAATATCTGGATATTAGATTGTTAAGCTTAGACAGTACCTTAGGCACCTTAGGTGCCTACTCTCTGTGGAGACAGCTATTTGAAGGAAATATAATGTATTGCTTAGTTTAAACTGTGATTCTCCTTAGAGTGATTGTCTATATGTCTGTTAGCATTACAAGTATTCCAGCTCCAGCTGTTAGTGTTTTTACCTAGTTTTTATATAATTGTGTTAGGGATGGCTCAAACTTCCCTCTCTCCTTTTTGCAATATATGCAGCAACAGAGGGCACAAAGTGCATCTCTTTTTCTCTGTTTATTTCAGTCATTGAATCTGTATTGTTGGTTAGACTTGCAGAAAGAAGAGAGAGGTGGTGGATATATATACACGGTACCAAATTTCAAAGAAAAGTAACCTTTCTCCTTAAATATGCTTTACAGGCAATTCACATAGAGGGAGATGTTGGTTAATTTGTGAATAATTATAAGCAATAGGCGTTCTGTCACCTTTAATGGTATGTATACAAAATTTAGAAGAGGTGGCAGTCATGCATGCTGCTCTGGATACTGCTGTGTGAAAGCAACATCTGATTAATAACTGCAAAATTGTGCTCAGAGAGTTTGGTTATATGTAAAGAGTAAACTATGTTTAATATTCTGCAATCCTAATTTATTGTTTCTGCAGAATTCTTTCTGCAGAAAGGTTTCTGTATTAAATATTGGCAAATGAGCTATTTGGCAGTTGGCTTATGTAAAGTCTGGAGCTCTCTGGACTCAGTGGTGATTGTGGGGTATAAGGGTGTCAAGAAGTAGCCACAATGCTCATGAACATTGCTGTCCAAGATAATTCTGTGCACTTGTCAGACTTGCATACAACTTCACAGGGATCTATATGAAAACACCTCTAAAAAACGTAAGTCCCGTAAAGTCGATAAACTTTTTATATTTTGATCTTTTTGATCAGTGATATACAAGAATCGTTGCAAACACAGAAGTTGAAAGTACCAACCCCAGAAACCACAGCACAAACAGCAACTGAACTATTAAATGTTTATTCAGATGATGAATATATAAGAAAAATTCAAAAACGTTTGGAGGAAGATACATTTGCTAGAGAACAACGAGAAAAAAGACGACGAAAAATGCTAGTGGAACAGTTAATAGCACATGAAGCACAGGAGGTAAGAGAAGTACATAACCCATGCACAATTAGTAACCTAAATATATACTTACGAAGTAACACTATTTTTGAGGGCTGAATGAAATTTGAAGGGGAGAAAGGGAGGTATATACATTTTATCTCTGAAAATAACTTTTATGCATTGTTATTCCTTGAAAATTATGGAAGGTTTTGCATTCTTTCTCACCACTTTTATGTCATACTTCATCCTTATAAATCATAAAGGCTGAAATGAAAGCAGCAGAGCTTAGGTGATTAAAAACCAGTTGAAGGCCTGCCTGATATTTTCCCCAAAAAGAATAAAAAAAAAGGTGACCTTCAAACTATCAAAATGCATTCTGGGTCTGAAGATGGTAGTACTCAAAAATCAACAAACGTGACAGTTGAAAATCTGTATTTGCAACTATATCTAGACTGGATTAATTTTAAAATGGTTGTGCAGGGTAGTATGAAGAAGCAAAATACTTATTTTGCAGAGCTTTGATTTTTGAAGTGTTATGGAATAGAAAGTGTGTCTTGGGAGGATGTCTCTATTGTGTCCAAAAATGGTTGTTGCAGGTTATTCTATTTGACTTTTGTCTTGAAAGCATAAGGCTTTTCAGGTTCCTCCTCAGACACTTCTTTTAAAAAGCAGCTCTTAGATTGTTGACTTCACACAACTTCTCTGTAAAAAATGATGGCATCAAACATACCTTTGTAACTTACTGGAGTTTGTCTGTAATTTTGAGTTATCTTATATTTTAGTATTATTGCATTTAGAGTTCTTAGCTTAGATCAAGTAGATTGAACCCACTGTAGCTGAGCCTGTCACCCCAGGTATTTCATAATAACAGCACTGAAGATGCATGGCTCCTCTTAAAAGAAAAAGTATTAATTATAGATATATATATTAAAGCACTGGCATATATTGTCTGGAGAGATTTTTGAAGTTGTTGAGGAAAATGTAAGTTTATTGGGGTAGACATTTAGAAATTAGATGGCTTCTCAATATTTCTCCCAGGTCTGTATTCTGTGGGAAAGTAAGGATATCTCTTGTGGCTTAGACTAAGAGTCTGTACATCCACACATGCTGTATTTGAGCTCTCACTCAAAGTGATTCTTTAAAATGTTCTTGTTGATATGCATAGATTGTGAAGAAGTTTTGCCATCCAGCTGTCTTAAATCTCTGTAATTAAAAAACTTCCATCAGCAGTTACAGCCCCAGTATACTCCAGTAGCCTGGACCAATGGTTCCAATAGCCATGGCTATCAGCTGATGGCCGTATGGTATCAGCAGCTATTACTGGGGTGTTTGGTAGAGACAGTAGCACTAAGCCAACAAAGCCAGCCAGTGCTATCCAGGTCAGATGGCTGGTCCACCTGCAGTCACAGAACAAACCTTGCCAGTTTGAGATGGAGGAATTGCCGATAATGTTCTTCTAATCAGACTGTCTCCAGTGGGGCTCCAAAGCAAGGCAAAAGTAACAATAATATCTCTAACTTCCCAGGAAATAAATAATCTTCGATGTAGGGACAATAAAGGGACTACAAGGATTAGAAGGAAAGACAAGTGATCAGTTGACCAAAACAACAGCCTGACCAGATAAAAGAATCTATTTAGTGCCACTTCTGTTTTGAATTATCAGGGGAAGAAGTTACTGGTTGGAATTCTATGAGAGCTGAGAAATTACATATTGCTTGATTTAAGGAACTATGAAATAAGTATATATAAATATATATTTAGGATTGAAAACATTATATAAAGTAGTTGAAAATTAGTATCTCCCTGCATTAGATATGGAACTAAAAAGGATTTGAAAGCAGAAATAATGGCTTTCCTGTAGTCATTAGGCTTTGTGCTTATACTACATAAAACTTGAAGACAGGCCATAGGATCATCTAGAATCAAATTAATTGTATGTTTTCAGAATGCATTAATGTGTTTCATGACCATATCTATAAATGTCTACTAAAAGAACCTTGTTCCAATTTTTGAATCTTGGTACACTGCAAACTGTAGTACAAGTCGGAGTCTGGGAGTAAAAGTACTTTAAAATTACATGGCACTCCTCTGTGCGGAGCATGTGGTGATGCCAGTCAGATTTTCACAGGCAGAAAATAAAAGTGTTTGACAGTAACATAGTTTCATCCCAATTGAATCTTTGATCTGCACTGTTTCAACAAATTATTTGTTCTAAGTACTCATTATTTTTAAATGGTGTTTAGATTTTCTCTCTGTGGAATTTAAAAAGCTATCAGAAAGTTACTTGCCTTCTTTTATTGCATTGTTTTAATAAATACAGAAGACATCTGAACAGATTTGCTCTTCAAAAGGCAGCGCTATTGGATAATTCTATTACCCAAAGTATATCAAATGACACATAGCATGAATATGAAAATACAAAGTGCATCTAAAATTGTTCATATTGCATCGTTTTCCATTTTAGAGTTGCATGTGTGATGATAATTCTGCACACAGAAACATAATGTACAAAGAGTACACTACAAATCAGATCCTCATTTAGTGATAAGCTTTGAAGGCAGATGATCTTGCATGTGGGTAAAGCCCTGTGGGATTAAAGCCTGAGATGACCACATGATAGTTTCTTTGCTGTTAAAACTATAGTACACTGTGATGAGATACTGTGCCGGGAAAAAGCACATTTTGGCTGAAATAAACAAAACTTTGAGGGACTTTTGTATCAGCTTGGTCTTTTCAAGTCACCAGTGGAATGTAGTTTTTCTACCAGTTGCAAAGAAAACAGAACCTAAAAATATGGAATGAGCTTTTGTTGAAAAATATTGGTTTCTCCATAATATCACCATCAAAGATTTCCATTTATTTGAAGGTTATTGTTATTATTATTGAAATTCAAATAGTTAAATAAGTTATTTAAATAGCTAAATAGTTATTAGTCTCCTCAGGGCTCTCTCAATGCATTCTCTGCCCAGCCTGTATTTGTGCTTGGGATTGCCCCAGCCCAAATGCAGGACCTTGCACTTGGCCTTGCTGAACTTCATGGGGTTCACACAGGCCTACCTCTCCAGCTTGTCCAGGTCCCTGTGGATGGTATCCCTTCCCTCCAGGTATTTGTGGACTGCTAATCTATGATCTAGACCTCTTTGTGGAATCTGGTATTTCTTTCATAATGGCATGATTATACTTAATAAAGTTTGAATTTTCATTTAGAGGTGAATTTATATAGTGTGTTCTGCCCTCTCTCTGTCACAGAAAGCTGATGAAAAATAAACCACATTAAAAGAAAATAGAAGAGGTTATATATATATATATATGTATATATATATATATATATATTTAATGATACTATTAACTGCTTTTACCCTGTTTCTCTGTTCTTAGGAAAATTAATTTGAACTCTTCAGATCAATTCCAAATTTATGTCCTTAAATCTGAACCTATATTTTATAGCAGTTTTTCTGCATCTGAATCAAAAGTCCAGGGAATCTGAAATTTCCTCTAATATCCTTATTTAGGAGTGATATCTGGCAATAGGGCTTGATAGGCAAGTTGATGCGTTTGATTAGAACTCAGAAATAGTTCTGGACTGTGAAGGCTGTGGGGCAAAACTTTAGGTTAGGTTAAGCTTTAGATACAAAGCACAGAAAAGAAGTACAGTAGTGGGAAGGTATTAGTATGTTCTGTCAAGAACTTTGAGAAGTACCAGTCCACAGCCTGAAAACTGTCAGTATGCTCTCACCATGCTTCAAGCAATGGTTCAGAATGATTTTTTTATAATATTGAGTAAGGTATTTTTTGCATGATGCTTTGTCAGTGAGAATGCTGAAACTGTTACCTAGAAGTCTTGTATTTCCCTCTGGTTGGAATGCTTTCCTCTATTCCCAGTCTCCTAAATGGAGGTGTTATTTACCTGAATCCTGAGAAAAAAGGATGAAGTTCAAAACTGTAGAAAAATAGACTTATTCAAAGGGTTCAGTGGAGCATGGCTGAGAAGGGGACTGGTAGAGAACAAGGACAGATAAGGGAAATAACGACCAATGTAATTCAAAGAAGGGATATATCTTTACATTCAGAAGCAATTATTTGAAATATGCATTGCACACAGGCTTTATCCAAGTTAAAATCGAGTTATTCTGAACAAATGTATTTTTTACTCAGTATCTCTGGTAAGACATATTTAGAATTCATTTATATAGTTCTACAGTTCTTGTATGTTTAACAAAGATAATGAATAGTTTTTTAACAAAGTTCATGAATAGATGTGTTCTGGACGTGTGTATCAAATTAGCAAGTAAATGTTATATAACTCCATTCATATTTTCCATATAAGACAGTGATGTGTTGTCTATGAAATGATTTATAAGCTGTTCTTAATGCTAATTTTTATATGTGCATACATTTTAGGAGGCTTACCGAGAGGAGCAACTTATTTACAGACTAATGAGACAATCTCAGCAGGAACGGAGGATTGCTGTTCAACTCATGCATGTTCGACATGAGAAAGAAGTGTTAAGGCAAAACAGAATTTACAGGGAAAAACAGTATGAAGATAGACGACTGAAAGAGTTCCAGAAAGCTCTTGATAGTGAGGCAGTAAGTGATTATTTACTCCCCAAGTCATTGTAGCAGTTGTAGTACTTATCTGTGGAATTTGTATTGTCAACTGTTAGAATTTTGGCTTTTTCTAGGGTGATCCAATGATGAATATATCACTTTTAAATACCTTTAAAGTTGCAGCTCAGTTAATAATGGATATAACTGAGCAACTTAAAGTCTCATTTTGTTCTTTTCTTACAAAATAATTTTCACTTTTTAGGGAAACCTCTCTATGCTGAGGTCAAAAGACAGTCCTGTAGAGACAAAATGACAGAAGAGTTACAGAAAAACTTGCTTTAAGAATTATGTTTTTCATGTCCTTTAGGTGTAATAAGCTAACAGCCATTTTTGAAAAATGCCGTAATAAGGAATTTCAGTCATGCATGCATTATTTCTACCTTGAATCTTGGAGTAGATTAATAAATTAAAAGAATTCATAATCCTGTGAGAAATTGCCAAGTGTTATGCCCACAGCAGGCCTTAATGTAACAGTAGGAATGTTACTTTGCTCCTGCCAAAAATAATTAACAGCTCTAAATCTGAACTCCTATATAATCAGCAGCCATAGCTATTGATTGCTGTGCTTCTGTAAGAACACTCTTGGCAAAAAGGAGCACACGGTCACAGGAACTGCTGATACTTCTCTACAATGACCAGAAATCCTTCTCAAAGGTCAAACAGCATCAATAATCTCAAATTATTTGTATATCAGCATCTGATAAATTAAATCGCTAGTCACATACTGTGAATGAGTATTCCTTCATAGTTTTCAGTGAAACTAAGCATTGTTCCTTAGGAAGAGTAGACGACATCATTTCATGTTTCCCTGCCCTCCAAGCACTGAGTACATTCTTAATTTGTTTTTCATGAAAGAAGCGATATATTTCTCCTTTTTTTTGTTGTCATTTTTTTTTGTTATATTTTAGCAGTTAAAAAGCAAACAAACCAGACTTATAGAATGAATAGAAGTTTTTAGATTTTTGTATGTGTCCGTGTTCAATGTCTTTCCTGCTCTGATGTGACTGTTTTCATTAATTGGTTTAAATTAGTAAGTTAATTCTCTTAGTCCAGGATAGTGCACTTCTGCAGTTTAATTTGTTTTGCAATCTCAGATGTACTTTTCAAAACAAAATTCTAGGCTCTTGCAAAACAAGAAAAAATTGATTGTGAAGAACAAACTATCAAAGAAAGAGAACGTCATGAGAAAATTGCTGTTGGAAGAGCCCAGGCTCGTTATAAAAAGCATTATTCTATATGTTGGGAAGTGATCAACCAAATCATTGACTTGTCAACAAAAGTAGGAGAATATCGAATACTGACAAACAAGTGAGTATGTTAGCTGTCAGGCAAAACTAACAGGTGTTAGGTAGTTGTTAGGCTTAATGATTCGTTCTGCTTTAAGCACCAGTAATGTCTTAGGTGGATCCTCAGGTATCTTACAGGACAGCTTGAATTACTTTACATAAGAAAATTATGATATTCCTTTCATGTGAGTATTCACTGATATGTAACACAAGGTGAAATAGTGCTAAAGCCTTAGTGTAATTCCTTGAAAACTCAACCAACTTGAATCCTTAGAAAACAAGGATTCACTAGTTCTACAGCTTGTAGAAATACTGACTTCTGTTTTATATGAAGAAATTCCTTCATTTAAAAGTTAAAAACTGAATGCTGCTCATCTCACAGTAGGTTGCTCCACTAGCTGAATGTTTCCCAACAGTAATATAGAGAGGATGAATTTCCTAATATATATCAACCTGCCTGGACAGTTCTGAAAATTGCAACTTGGTCCAAAGTCTGGGTCCTACATGCTGTGATTCCCTATTCTGACACGCTACAATTCCACAGAGCTTCTGAGAATGTCCTAAAAAGGCAGCAATCTCCACATGCCTGTGATGTAGTAGTGTTTCCAAAACCACAGAGCAGGGCTTTGGATTCTCTGTTGTTCTCTCATTAGTATTCAGTGATCAGACTGGGGGGGGGGGGGGAGGAGCTTGCATGATTAGAAAGTATGCCAAAAGCTTCCTATAGGTTTTGTCAGTGTTTCTGTGCACTTAATTGAAAAAGGTGCATACAGTATGTATTCAATTATTTTTGAATCATGCATGTAGTTTCCTTAATGTTACAGCCCTCATCTACAAGCATTAATAAACAAATAAGAAAAAAAAAAGCTCCAGATGGATGTAATCCTAGAACACTTTGAGTATATGTCAAATTTAAGCTGTTTTTATACAGTTTGTTTAGCACCCATGCATGTCAGAGTCCTATTTATATTTTAGCAATAACTATAATTGCTTAATAACTTGGTACTTATATGCAGTTTATCTTGTTCCATAAGAATATTGTTCCTTTCTGAATGAAAGGGAAAAAAAAAAAGTTTAATTACTTATAAAATTCTGAATGAATTTTAGATTCCAGAAAAATCTGGAAAAATTGTATTGATTTTTGGTGAGGGGAGGCCATATGCCACAAATGAGAAGAGTATTTTGAAGCAGGGAAATAGAGTTGCAGCAAAACTGTTACCACACATCTCTGCCAGACAAATACTGTGATAAATCACTTATGAAGATACTGAAACCTACAAGGACCTACTGATGTCATACATGTACAATATGTGTGACTATTGTGACTATTGTATGTATTGTGACTAATGTATGTGACTAGTGAGTGACTATTTTTATGGTTTCTTCCTAACAAGCTATAGTAATTACAGAAAACATTATAAACCATACCAAGTCTAGCATATCCCTATTTCATGATTGTAGTTCTTGTAAATTTGGGTCCACTATTTTCAAACATCTAACTCTTAATTTTTGGCTTGGAACTCATTCCATTTTTGTTTGTTTGTTTGTTTGTTTGTTTTCTACTGCAGCAAAATTCCATTGAAACTGATGCGTGATTGGAAGGAATTTTTTTTTAGTGAAAAACCAATATATGAACAAGCCTCAATTCACCCTTTGCCAAATGAACCAAGCCCAGAACAACTTGTAGAACTGAATAAAATGAATCTGTTAGATGAAAAAGATTATGGTGAATATAAGGTATATCAAACTGATAAGACGTAATGGAATATAATACATCCTGATTGTACATAATCATAAACATCTTGTTGTGATGTTACATTTTGTTCTTTTAGTAGTTTCTGATATCAGAATTTGATATGCATTTTCTTTGTGTTACATCGGATTCTGTATGAAATACATGGCTATATTTTATGTTTGTAGCATTAGGCAGCTGATACAATTTGAAAACACAGTTATAATTTCATGCTTATTATAACATTGATTATATTTCTCTCCTGAGTTCATAGAGCCAACAAGTAAATTGGAATGCAATGAATTTTAGTTAACTGGAATGTGAAAGTATGGTTAATGCTACCATATTTAAAAATTCAAGAAGAAGTAGACAGCAAAAGCATGTGAAAAGAAGTAGGGTCTGTTACAAAACAGGGTAGTCTTAATTCTAGCAATTTTGAATGAAAGCTTTCTAACAAGATTTATTGGTTTGGGTGATCTATTTATTTTCATATGGGAACATTTTTAAACATTGTTATAAATGGCTGATGTTTTTGTAACCTTCTGTTAGGATACGAGGTACCTTAAAACTTTTCCTCAACTTTAGGATGCAATATGTAATTTCAGAAGTGAAAGGTGAAGAATGAATGTTGCCCTGTTATAATTAAAAAGTATTGTACAATATTTTCCAAATTAAAATGTAACTGATGCTTTTCTTTGGGGGTAAAAACACATCAGTATTTTCAAATATTCTGTTTAACTATAATGTGTCAAAATCACTATAAGTAGCCTGTCTTTGACTGGCTGGGAAATTATAACCATAATATACATGTGCTTTTACCCACCTCCTGGACAAATTTGTACTTTTTTTTATTTGCAACGAGTCTAAATGTTTTTTAGGAGTTTGTGGGGAATGTCTTGCAGTTCAGTTTATTTTGTTTTCAATCTTAATATGTGCTTTTCTGATGAATTTATTTGTAAGTTCTTTGTTCAGGCCATATCCACCCATGTAATGAAATTCATGATCATTCTCTTTAGGTGGAAAAAAAAAGCAAATACTGAAGATCAAAAGGGAGGACATACAGGACAGATAGGGAGGAAAAAGTTACAGGGGAACATTAATGAAAAATGAACTTTTTTAGTCAATATTTTTTGTATTACAGAGTCTCAGTAGTCTTCTTTCGATATAGGGGCACTGAAGAAAGCGAAAATTTAAACATTTAATTTAAAGCATTTTTCTCACTACCAGCTTGTTTCAAATGCACATTCACATTTTTATTTTTATTTTTTTTTCCAGTCTTATGCCTTACTGAATGAGTGTTCATCAAAAGCTGATATCACATAACCTGTGTAAAATTGTTGGCACCAATACATACGTATGTCACCTGAAAACCTAAGTGAACAGCTAATTCCTTCAGAGTATTTCATCTAAACAAAAGTGTATTGGCAGGGCATTCTGGTAAAATTTATGCTGATTTTCTTCATCACAGTGGAAAAAGCGTGGCACAGGCAACTTGGCATCTCTCAAAAACAATAAGTTTATATTAAGAATGCTGACTAAAAGAAACATATATGATAAAATAAAAGAACAAAATAAAGCACTATCAGTGTGTTGTACATTCTATATTAGACTGAGCTTGAAAACATTTGGAAACTATCACATGATCAGTTGTGGCTAATCACTTCATAAATTAATAAAATCCCCCAAACTAAACATAACAGTAGGCACTGTCCAAAATATCAAATAATTTGCAGTTATCATTGAGGGTGTTGACTGGCAGTTATATAACTCTGGCCTGAATACCTGAAGCCTTGTTTCTAACATGTACGCTACTTTAACAAAGACAAATTCAATCTAGCAATCTTTTAGATTGGAAAGAAAAAGACAAGAAATTTGAAAGGTGATTACTTCAAATAAGAAACCCATTCCATTTGGAATTCATTTTTTCTACAGGTTTGATAGAATTTAAAATAGTTGATAACATCTTTTCTCACAATTTTAAAGGAGCATGATTCAGATAGAACAAGGATTTTATTTTTTTAAGCATATCTTTTCCACTACATATTAAAAAATACATTCTCTGAGATAGGTTAGAGAGTGGATATTTTGCAACTCAAAAATATTTTTTGTTGTTTTTACTGGTTAAAAAGTCACATTTTCATTTATAGTATTAATAAATTATATGGTGTTATTTTATCTAATGCATATATGTTCAAAGTCAACGCTGATCTAGTTCTGTTACTAGAAAGTATGCTATGGCAATATATAATTTATAATAGAATCATAAATCATAGAATGGCATGGGTTGGAAGGATCCTTAGAGATCATCTAACTCCAACCCCCCTGCCATAGGCAGGGATGCCACCCAGTAAATCAGGTTGCCCAGGGCCCCATCCAACATGGTCTTTAGCATTATTATAAATGGGCATCCAGGGATGGGCATCCACAGCTTCTCTGGGCAATCCATTCCAGTGCCTCACTACCCTTACAGTGAAGATCTGCTTCCTAATGTCTAATCTAAATCTATCCTCTTTTAAGACTTCTCTTGTCCTATATTTATCTACCTGAGTAAAGAGTCCTTCTCCTTCCTTTTGATAAGACCCCTTTGAGTACTGAAAGGTCTCAGTGAGGACTCTCCAGAGCCTTCTCTTGTCCAGGCTGAACATTCCCAGCTCTCTCAGCCTTCCTTCATAGGAGAGGTGCTCCAGCCCTAAAGTAAATAGTAAAGTCAGGAAAAACAAAACAAAACAAAAACAAAAACAACCTAGAACATGAATTTAAAACATTGTATTTCAGTAGAACTTTGAATGAAACTAGGTGATGTAATTAAATATTTAATTTATAGAATGATACTATAGTTTACATTGGAAGGGATATGGTCATCATTTAGTTTAACCTCTTTGCTCAAAGCAGGTTCAACTTCTAAATCAGATAAGGTTGCTCAGTGCCTTGGCCGGTCAACTTTCAAATATTTCCAAGGATGGAAATTCCACAGACTCTCTGTGCAACCTACTCCTGTGCTTAACCACCCTCATTGTGAACATTATTTTCCCTCATTTTTTTCTGTGTTGAAATTTCCTTACTGAAACTTTTGACTGTGCCTTACAACCCTTTAGTGTGCACCCCAAATAAGATGACAAGCCAAAATCTAATTGGGAATATTACTAGTCCACATATCTTCCAGACAGCTGTTTATTACCCTCCAGTTAAATAATAAGTGAAACAAGACTAGTATTATCCTGCATACTAGAATGTTCTCTTTTAGCTTATTATAGCATAAACTTCACATGTACTTCATTGTTACTTTCCTAGCCTTATAAGATGCAATAATACAGCAGCAAAAAATATATTCCGTTCTTCTGACTATATCCTTCCATTCTCATCTTTCTCCCAGTGCAATTGTCAGTAAGAGACAGCCTCATTAAGCTGTATGCTTGTAACTCATACCACTGATAAATTTATATTGATCTCAGTGCAGATGAACTGGAATTTTCTACTCAGTATTTCCTTTCTTTTCTGATTTATGTAATTCGTTGGGAGTGTGGGAGTGGGGAGTTTTAGGGTTTGGCAGGTGTTTTTTTGTCTATTGACTTTATATTAGGCAGATAACTGTATTTGAAATCTTTCTCTGTATTTTCAAAGATCTCATTGTGATACTGGGCAATAATGTTGCCTATTTTTTAGAACGCTAAATGGTAGGATAATATTTCACAAATATGCTACTGATTCATTCTGTCATATTGGTGAAATGACTTTTCTTGTTTGTGAGATTTAAAAAATGAATCTAGCAATCTGTAAAAATGATCGTAGGAGTACTTGTCTCTCAACTAATTATTAGTGAATATTAATAAATGCTTAGAGATAATGACAGTTATTGATTTTAACAAGGCTCTATTCTAAAAATATTTTATTTTTTAGTACTGTTCAGATTTGGTTATTGTATATTTGTTTATGTAATGGCATATATAGAAAGATGAAAGACAAGGCATATTGACAAATTGTCTCATCATTTGTCATTTATACAGAGTATGACAGGGGAATGGTGTCCAACTGAAGATAACAGTGAAAACAAACCTCCTCATAATAATAACATATTGGGTCATGTGCTTCGTAGACTGATGGAGATCTTCTACCCTCCAAAACCCAAATCTTCATTACCTGTATTTCCTTCTTTTCCTATTAAGGGATGCATTTTGGGAAAACTTTTTAGTGGAAAAACTACCTGTGTAAAGTTTCTTGAAAAAGGTAGATTATTTTTTTAACCTAAATTTCTTTAAAATACTTAATTGTTTTTAAATCCAACTCTTAGAATGACATTTGTTTGGGCAAATCCTTGCATTACTTATCCTTGAAACACGCGTGCATCCATATTTTCTAGGAGATCCTTGCAAGTCATTCATTCATTATCTTCCGAAATAAGATAAAAACACATGAACTTTCATAAAGTGTTGTTGTAGTATTACTTCTGCATTTCTTGAGAATTTAAAAATGATTTTGAATTCTCTGAGGATTTTTTCTATGGAAGAGACTAGCAGACATCTGTGATTGTGGTTATATGCTGTATAGTGGTCACAGAGCAAAGACAGTGGTAACAACTTACATCAAAAGCCCAAACAAAAGGAACCATACATTGGTTTGCATGTACTAGGCTTTTGCATGTCTTCTCAGAATTAATTTAATTTTAATAGTGGTCTGTGTCTATGTGTGATCGGCTCAAACTGTAAAACTATCTTATTTTTTCTTATATTAGTTTGCAATATTCAGGTACTATCTATTGATACTCTGGTTCAGGAGGCCATCCAAGCTTTTCTTAAAAATGAAATGAAAAGTGAACACAGCTTAATTTCACAGGAAGCAGAGAGTTCCGTGAAACAAAATGAGGTAAGCATTTTTATTAATTTTCGTTTTGGGTACGACAGGGAAAAGAGAGTGACACGTATAAGGAAAAAAAGCATATTGTTTCAATTTCTTACTTAGTTCTAAGTTTTGACTTAGAAGACTTCAAGACATATTCAATTCACAGGTTTGGTTTTCTTTAATGTGTAGTTTCCTTTCTCATAATTTCTTTTCTTAATTGATACAAGGTCCAGATGAACATGTCAAAATCATCACTACTGGAAATTCTAACAGAAACATTTATCAATGAAACTGAAGGTGTGTATGTGTGTATATCTATTATTTAATTATAATTTATTGTAATTCAACTCTTATCTTATTAGATTTAAATGCAGTTAGCCTTTCTGTTATCCATGTCTGAGTTTTCACCATAGTTTCTATAACGAAGTTACTGTTTCCACACATTTGTAGTGTCTGAAAGCAGCAAGTTCAGGCTGCTCCACAAGGGAGGGTGAGCTAGGAGATTAAGACAATAATAAGTTAGGCAGGGCCAACACTTTGCCAACAAAAAGTGAGGATATTGACTAAAGTCAGGGTCAGGACCAGGTCCAGAGACAGTGTGAACCTTAGTCTGGCGATAAGTCTGCTGATGAAAATAAGTCTTGAGTCAAATCAGACACTCAAGACCACAGATACGTATCAGGGTTAGAATCAGAGATAGAATAGAGTGCTGATGTGGTTGTTACACAACTGTGATGTACTACAGACAAAGTCCAGGATGAGAGCTTCATCTTAAAAACAACTTCCAAAGGGTGGAACAACTTCCAAACAACTTCCGAAGTTGAGGGTGGAAGGGATCTTTGGAAGTCACACAGTCCAGTGTTTCTCCTTAAAGCAGGGTCACTATTGCAGGTTGTCCATGACCGTGTCCAGTTGGGTTTTGGACATCTCTAAGGAAGTAAACTGCACAACCTCACTGAGCAACATGTTCCTATGTTCCATAACCTTTAGTGTTAAGATTTTATTGTTTAAATGGAATTTCTTTTGTTTCAGTTTGTGTTCTTTTATTTGGCATCACTGAGAAATTTCTGACTTGGTCTTTACTTCCCCCCATCAGGTATTTATGAGCATTGACAAGATTCTCCTCAGGCCTTCTCTCCCCAGGCTGAACAATCCCAGCTTTCTCAGACTCTCCTTGTACATCAGATATTCTGGGACCTTAATAATTCTTACGGCATTTTGCTTGACCTCCTCCAGTATATACAGGTCATTCTTGTACTGGACACAGCATTCCAGATACAGTCTAACCAGGACTGAGTAGAGCTCAAGTACAACTGCCTTTGACCTGATGGCAACGTTCTTAACACAGTCTAGGATGCTGTCAGCCTTCTTTGCTGAAAGTGTACATGGCTGACTCACAGTCAGCTTGTTGCCCTCCAAGGCTTCTTCTCTGCACAGCTGCTTTCAAGACAGTTGGCCCCCAGTTTAAACTGATGCACGAGACTTTTCTTCCCATATACATGTACAGGACTTTGCATTTCCCTTTGCTGAACTTCATGAGATTGTTGACAGCCCTTTTCTCCAGCCCATCAAGGTCTCTCTGAATGGCAACCTAAACCACTTGAGATACAGAATCATAGAACGGTTTAGTTTGGAAAGGACCTTAAAGATCATCTAGTTCCAACTACCCTGGCATGGGCAGGAATACTTTTAAATAGATCAAGTTCCCAAAGCCCTGGTCAACCTGGCTTTGAATGCTTCCAGGGATAGGGCATCCCCAGCTTCACTGGGCAACCTGTTCCAGTACCTCACCACCCTCAGGAAAGGATTGCTTCCTTCTATCTAATCTAAACAAAACATCTTTTAGTTTAAAACAATTACCCCTTGTCCTATCACTCCACTTCCTGACAAAGAATCCCTCTCCAGCTTTTCTGTAGGTCCCCTTTAAGTACTGGAAGGCCACTGTAATGTCTCCCTGAGCCTTCTTCTCTCTAGGCTAAATAACCCTATCTCTCTCAGCCTGTCTTTGTACAAGAGGTTCTCCAGCCCTTTGATCATCTTCATGGCCTTCCTCTGGACTTGTACGAATACATCCATGTCCTTCTTGTGTAGGGGATCTGAAAGTAGCACTCTAGGTGGGGTCTCACGAAAGGAGAATAGAGGGGGAGAATCACCTCCCTCAACCACCTCCCTCAACGTGCTGGCCATGTTTCTTTTGATGCAGCCTGGGATATGGTTGGCTTTCTAGACTGCAAGTGCACATCTCATGTTGAGCTTCTCATCAACCAGTACCCCCAGGTCCTTCTCCTTGGACCTGCTCTCCATGCATTCTCCTCCCAGCCTGTGTTTGTGCTTTGGATTGCTCCAGTCCAGATGCAGGACTTTGCACTTGGCCTTGCTGAACTCCATGAGGTCTGCACAGGCTCACCTCTCCAGCCTGTCCAGGTCCCTCTGGATGGTATCTCTTCCCTCCAGTGTTTTGACTGTACCACAAAGCTTTGTGTTATCTGAAGACCTGATGAGAGTGCACTAAATCACTCTGAAAAAGATGTTAAATAATACTAGTCCCAATACTGACCCCTCAGGAACACCACTCATCACTGGTCTTCACGTGGACATTGAGACATTGACCACAACTCTTTGAGTGCAGCCAACTAGCCAATTCCTTATCCAACAAGTGGCCCATATATAAAATCCAGTGAATTAGCATCTTTGTCCTCCAGTTTCCTCAGGACCCCTGGATTCATTTCATCAGGTCCTATGGACTTACACACACATTCATGTTCCTTAAATGGTCTTGCACCTGACCTTCCACAGTGGGCAGTACTCCTTGCTGCAGACGTTCCTGCTAATCTCAGGGGACTGGGATTCCTGAAAACAAGTTTTACTGTTAAAAGCTGAGAGAGAGAAGGCTTTAAGTACCTCAGCATTTTGAAAGTCTCTTTCAGCAGTTGGATCGTGTTTTCCGTAGTCTTTATTTGCTGTGGAGATATCTGTAAAAATCCTTCTTCTTTCCCTTTTCCACCAGACACAAGAAAATATCTTTTCTCCATGAATATATTGAAACAGATTCTATGGAGAGGTAGTCTCCATCATTGGAAGTTTTCGAGACAAAGTAAAAATCTGAGCAACCTGGTCTGACCTTTCAGCTGATGATGCTTTAACCATAAAGTTGAACTATGTGACCTCTGGAGGTTGCTTCCAACCTGAATTATGCAATGATTCTATGTTTCTGATGATTTAACATACCTTTTATTATTTATCTACAGTAAGAAATATTATAGAAGTAAAACTGTCAAACTTTATAATGTACCTATTTTAGGTAATTGTCCTATCAAAAATGATTCACCTAGTCAAAAAACTGAACCAGACAACAGCCAGAGTGACCTGTCCAAGGTTTGTAGTTTGATTTTATCTGCTACTATATAAAGATACCTTTGTTAAAATCTTATTAAACTACAGAATGGTGACACCATTTCATCATCCTGCATTTATTTGTTCACCTTACTGCAAGCATTTTCTGTATGAAATTTAGAAAGACATCTTATAAAAATCTATTCCTGTGTATGTTGGTTAGAGTTGTACATGCAGCTAGAATTTTACAAAAATGTTTAATTTCACATTTATGTAAGATATGGTACTTCCTCTTCATTTCTGAGTTAGCAGAAATGTATTCCTTATCTTGATGGTGCTAAGCAGATAATTCATCCCATGATAAGGTTTCTTTTCTTTATGTTCATAAATACTTAATTCTCCAGTGATGTATTTGACTTTACTGGTTGAGCTGAAGAGTACTTCAAAAACTAGGAAGGTTCCTATAGAACTAAAAAAATTAAATGCTGCTATAGGAAACTTCAGTTTGAGGCTTCTTTCAAGCTATCAGAAATGAAATCATCAATGGATTTAGAGTAGAGAAAACCAGAGTGACCTTGGACATGAGTCAGAATTATTGCACAGTTAAATCAGAATAACTCGTACACTTGATTTTTTAGTCTTTTGGCTTTCATTATCCTTTATTTCTCAACCTCATTTCTGTCTGGCATTTTCATGGATGTAATGTTGTTCAGTGATATTTCAGTTATATTAGGTCTTTTTACATAATTTTAAACTATTTCTCCTAAATAGATAATAAATATAGATAATAAAATAAACATTAAATATAAATAAATAGCACAATAAATATTAATAAATAACACAATAAATGTAAATAAATATATGGAAAACATATAACACAGAAGTATGTAAAGTAGAATCTATGTAAAGTAGAATAGTTCTTTTTAACTGTCAGTGTCATGAGTATTCTGAGCACTTGAATCTTACATGTTCTTCTAACTGCACTCTTCCACAGCTATCTGTACGTGCCAAGCTTGGTGCTGCATCACAGAAATTGTTGAAGAAAGGAAAAAGTATTCCTGATGAATTACTAGTTGCCATCCTTTTGGAAGCTATTAAGTATGAAATTGTGTAGCTTTTTTCCTCAGTTATAGAGAGTGTAATTATCCAGTTTGTAGAGCCAGCGTCAGCCATTTCTCTTTATTCAGTGCATTACTGGAACGTTGGAGTATTCTGCTGGGAAAGTGGAGCTAATTAGTGCAGTTAGTTAATCCTCGTTTTAAAGCAGTAGAATCTAGCCCTAAATTACACAGACATTATTGTGCACCACTGACAGCAAGTAAAAAAATAATCATCTATCACATAGACATTAAATATAATTAATGTCTCTATTTTGTTTATCAGTTGGAAACTATTCACAACATTCTAGTGTTTTTTCTTCTAGCTTTTATGTGAAATACATAATCCAAACATTCATACTTAGGCAGTTAAGTTACTTATTTTTTTATATTCTTACATGACAGAAAATTGTCTACTCTCCTGATAAGCAGTTAGCACTTCAGTTCTCATATGAGTATCATGTAAGTTGTATTACTCCCATTGGTACTTTATGTTATGAAACAGATTTTACTATTTATTTCTTTAGTGCAAAAGTTAGCACCTCAAGAAAACAGTGAAATTACATCTCTGATAATAGTTTGTATAGAAGTTGTTCTTGAAAACATCAAGACAGATCACAGAATCACAGAACCATCTATTTTGGAAGAGACCCCCAAGATCACCGAGTCCAACCTCTGCCCTAACACTAACAAGTCCTCCACTAAACCATATCACTGAGCTCTACATCTAAACATCTTTTAAAGACCTCCAGGGATGGTGACTCAACCACTTCCCTGGGCAGCCCATTCCAATGCCTAACAACCCTTTCCACAAAGACGTTCTTCCTAAAATCCAAACTAAATGTCCCAGGGCACAACTTTAGACCATTCTCCCTCGTCCTGTCACCAGACACATGGGAGAACAGACCAACCCCACCTCACTACAGCCTCCTTTAAGCTACCTGTAGAGAGCAATAAGGTCGCCCCTGAGCCTCCTTTTCTTCAGGCTGAACAATCCCAGCTCCCTCGTAAGACTTGTTCTCCAGACCCCTCAGCAGCTTCGTTGCCCTTCTCTGGACTCTCTCCAGCACCTCAATGTCCTTCTTGTAGCGAAGGGCCCAAAACTGAACACAGTACTCGAGGTGTGGCCTCACCAGAGCCGAATACAGGGGGACAATCACTTCCCTAGCCCTGCTGGCCACACTGCTTCTTGTACAAGCCAGGATGCCGTTGGCCTTCTTGGCCACCTGAGCACACTGCTGGCTCATATTCAGCTGACTATCAACCAATACTCCCAGGTCCTTCTCCACCAGGCAGCTCTCCAACCACTCCTCTCCCAGCCTGTAGCTCTGCTTGGGGTTATTGCGCCCCAGGTGCAGGACCCGGCACTTGTCCTTGTTGAACTTCATGCAGTTGGCCTCAGCCATCGGTGCAGCCTATCCAGATCCTCCTGCAGAACCATCCTACCCTCGAGCAGATTGACACATGTACTTAACTTGGTGTCGTCTGCAAACTTACTGAGGGTGCACTCGATCCCCTCATCCAGATCATTGATAAAGATATTAAAGAGAACTGGCCCTAGTACTGAGCCTTGGGGGACTCTGCTCAGATGTTGTTTTGTTTATCACTTTTAGCTATACTTGATGTAATTTCCTGGTATAAAATCTGTTGTTTCACAAATATAGTTGTCATATTCTGTGTTCATGAGGATATTGCATACACTGAATTTGGAATGAAAGACTGCTAGGACAAGCTGTTCTTTAGGTGTTAATATTATGCTGTCTATTCACTGTATAATCCTGATTCTTTTTTTGCCAATAGCCAAACACCACCGGAGATGGGATGGATTCTGGATGGATTTCCAATGACAATTAATCAGGCAAAGCTATTTGAAAAAGCATATATAGGGGTTGATCCAGATGAAGCAGAAGCAGAAGATATGAACCCTGGAAAGCTCTCCCTTGTTACAGATCCCAGAGCCCCTAACAAGCCTCCGGTTTCCTTACCTGCATTTGATGTTTCGGTATTATTGGATATTTCAGACACGACAGTACTGAAACGTATGGCTAGCTTGAAGTGTAAGTTTCCAACTACACTTTACAAAGTTAAATGACAAGCAGATTCTGATTTAAGGGGAATATAAAGGTTGTTATAATATTGAAACTACTAAATTTTGAATACTTTGCAATGTAATGGCAATTTGATTAGTGCAATTAGGATACAAAATTATATATTATTTTTAATTTTTCAGATAATTATGAAATTACATTTTTTTATCATTTCCTGTCAGTTTTCCTCTCCATATGTAAGTCCTCTTCTAACTTTGGCTGTTCTCTGTTTATTTATCTAGAAGTACATGACTTAATAAATTTAGCTTATATTTACCAGATTTACCTTACATCGTGCTCATTGGAGTGAAATAGAATTATTGCACAATTTCTTTATACGTGTTTCAGTCAAAAGCACATTAGAAGTGTGCAAATACATGTGTATATCCTTGGTTTTATTTGTTCTGAAATCTCACTAGAGCTGATGTAGTGCAGTGGCTAGTGTTAGCTGTCACATAAAACAGCAGTTGAGAAAAACACAACTTACGTCAAATGCAGAAATATGACTCATTCCAAATGAGTATGTGTAAATAGTATTTTTCTCCAAGAGACATATTTGGAAAGAGACAAAGGAAAGGGTAAACAAAGGGATGTGCTAACTTTATTTCTCTGGGATGTGCCAACATTCATTCCCTATTGAACACTGCATTTGTCATATGTTAGTTAGTCAGTGAACACCTGTAAGTAGGTGATTTTGACCAGAAATGACAAAGGCATCAAAGGCCTTTTGAGGGCTGTTTCAATTCCAAGCCACATACTTTTCATTGCTCTTATTCATCTTGGCAAAACATGAGTTCTTTTCACAAGTACATCCTGTATTGTCCAAATTGTAGGGAGATTCTTTATTGTTTTTACTGCAGCAGTTTCATAGCACTTGGCTTGAATTTAACAGCATTTAACTTTTGTTAAAGAAAAGAAAGGAGAGGTGGGATGAGAATGAGGCAAAATTGTTAGAGGTTTTGCTAACAATGCAGTCAAGATAAATGTATAGGCACTTAAAATTTGTGTTAATTTTAAGACCTTGTGTGCCAAAACACTTCGAAAATTTGATAATACATGATATAGTCTCAATAACCCCAAAATAATTTATTTCTTAAGATGTCATGTGTTGATAGAAAGAGTCCTAGAAACAATAAAAAACATCATGAAGTTTTTTTAAAAAGTGTCAAATTAGTTGATTAAAGTGTTTTTTAATCTCGAGAAGACTCGGAGAAAGAGGATACCTTGTCCTCAGGTGCAATAGTTTATCTGTCTATTGCTGTTGTGGAAAGGAGTAGTTACTTCAAGGAAGATTCAGATTAGACTGGGAAAACAGCTTCTAACTAAGAATAGTTAAGCCTGAAGTAGTCTGTCCATGAGACTATCCCATCTCTACAACCGGAGATTTCTATGACTGCAAAGTATCCATCAGGAAGTATTATTATTATCACTGACTGCATTTAAGCAGAAAAGGAGGGAAGGCACTGACTCCAGGTCCTTAGTCAGATCTGACCCTTCTTTTCTTTTAGGAAGCTGGCACCCAGTTTTTAGATGAAGAACTGTAAAATGAAGGAAAGCTAAAATCTTTCTTTTAATAATTATCTTATTTGGGGCCAACCACTACTTGTATAATTACCTTTTTCAACATATGTTCATATATGCTGTTTTCCACACAGCACATAAATCAAAGCCATCTCAAATGGAACAGAAGGACAACAATCAAAATTCAGATGCTGAAATCCTTGAAGAGAAGATTGACTTAGTAAGGGACCAGGTGCTACATAGGTATGTTGCTTGAAGTACAAAAAAGTTACTTCAACCATATTTTTAGCAAGTAAATAATCTGAACTTCATATGTGATCCATGATTGTACTGATACGCCTCATGTTAGGATTTTACTTATGAGTTTATCTGATGTGGAGCTTAAAGAGCTAGTGGATTCTTGGCACGATACAAATAATCCTAGAAGATAAGAATTCATATGTTTTGCTTTTCCAAGGTATTTTTATAAGGAGAATTTCCTTTTCTAGATATATATTGACTGAACCATATACTGGTTCATATATGTAAGAATACATATACTTACATATCTATGTATGCATACATACATCCATCAGAGAAATGTCATATATAATGTGATTGCCCTTGAGTGAAATGGCTTGAGTTACAGAATTTTTGAAATGGGATCTTCTGCTTTTACAGTAATAAAGAATAAATTAGTTTTGTATGTTTTATACAATTACTATTTGTTTTATTTTGCATAGAGAGCAAAATCAAGAACACCAAGTTTTATGTCTAAATATTTGATACTACTATTTTAGACTACTACATTATTGATTATTATTGTTTTTTGTTGTGATAGAAGAAAACATATGCTTACATTGTGACAAGAAAGAGTAACAAATATATACAACTAGATAACTTGAAAATTTTCTGATGCTGAAAATGAAGGGTTGATGTGGATGGACATTTAAATATTTTCAAAAAGTATTTGCTGAATTTACTTTAGTATTGGATTAGATGTTGTGATCTTTCTTTTGTTTATTAGTTTTGGGAAAATGTTTTCTTTTCCTGCAGTTATTTCAGTAGTTAGATTTAAAAAATTTTAATATGATTTTTGTAGAATTTCAGGCTTTCTAGACACATGGCCAAAATTAGAGAACTGGTTTTCAGTCCATCAGAATATTCTAGTGAAAGTCAATGCAGAGACAGAAGAAAGTCTTGTGTGCAAAGCAGTAAAGGAAATTCTAATGGGAGAAATTGCCAAAAAACAGAATAGAAGTAAGTTATTTTGTTCCTACTTTTTACATTTAATTAAAAAGACTTTGTTCTTTATAATTAATACTAATGATTAATATATACAAATATATGGAAACACTACCAATTTTCACCGTCCCTGCAAGACTTTGGAGATTTATGAGTTAGTGATAACTGCCCTGGAACTCTGAATTTTTCTGCTACACTGTTTCAGAGAGACTGATTTTATATAGTTGCAAAGGTAATTTGAGAAAAGGTTTTAATATGTTTAAAATAAACTGTCAATTGGATATATTTAAATTCACTGAGGTAACAGATTACTAAAGTCAGTCCTTTCTTCCGAGTTAAAGTATTATGGCTAGCATCTTTACCATGTGGCATAACATCATCAGCAGCTTAAAAATATGAATAACTTGCAGTGTTATTAACATTTCTTTTGGCGCATCTTATTGCATGTTTCCTCTTAATCACCCCAAAGGACAGAATCATTTAAAAATAAAAAGGGAAAAATAAATACCCAAGGGAAAATATGTATCAAATAAAACAGAATTGGCAGACTTTTGAATAACCACTTTCATATCTTGAGGATTTTTAGAAGATAGTCTATATGTGTCTTGCACCACATTATTCTTTCCCAAGTCTCACATGGAAACCATAACTGCTTACAGCTGTGCTTTAATTAAGCAGGGAATCCTTGAAATAATGATAGTTATAATGAACCTCAGAATTATATCAACACCACTGACCTTGGTTTACCTGGTAAAGAATATTTTGTAAAAGCACACAAAATCTTTATCTTCTTGTTTCTCTCACAGTGATGGTTTTAGAAAAGTATCAATCCTGCAAAACGCAACCTAACTGGAAGGAGATGTTATAACAACTATGGAATCACTGGTTTGATCAGTATATATGTTGATGAAAAATGCCTAACAATGAAACATTGAATCTGTTTCATTATTTTCAGCATAGATGTAGCATAGATATCTTTGGTTACTTAAAATACGTTTGAATGTACTAATTCTATGTTCTAAGGTTCTGCTCAAGAAAAATTACCAGGAAAAAAGCCTTTACCAGTTACATCTCAAGATTTGGTTCCTTCTGTTCCTGTGACACCACCACCAATTGAACCAGGATCAGATGAATGGATTTATGTAGATGAACCACTTCCCAAGGTACATTAATTCACAGAATCATAGAATCATTTAGGTTGGAAAAAACAGTGAATAAAACAGTGAACAAATACAGTTGGTGTTGGCCCATCAATCCAGACTATCAAGATCCCTCTGTAGACCCTTCCTATCCTCAAGCACATCAGCACTCCCACCGAACTTCGTGTCATCTGCAAACTTACTGAGGGTGCACTTGATCCCCTTGTCCAGATCATAGATAAAAGTAGTGAAGAGAATTGGCCCCAGTACTAAGCACTGGGGGAAACCACTTGTGACCCCCAGGTGGATTTAGCTCCATTCATCACTACTCCTTGGGCCTGGCCACCCAGCCAATTTTTTACCTAGCAAAGCATACAGACATCTAAGCCATGAGCAGCCAGTTTCTCCAGGACAATGCTGTGTAAAACAGTGTCAAAAGCTTTACTAAAGTCTCAACAGACAAAATCCACAGCCTTTCCCTCATTCACCGAGTGCATCACCTTGTCATAGAAGGAGGCCAAGGCTGTTGAGCAAGACTCGCTTTTCACAAAAAGCTGACTAGGCTTAATCCTGTGCTGGTTGTCCTGTGTGTGCTGTGAGATGGCGCTCAAGATGATCTGCTCTGTATCCTTCCCCAGCACTGAGGACAGACTGACAGGCCTGTAGTTCTCCAGGTGCTCCTTCTGGCCATTCTTGTCAATGGGCATCACATTTGCTAGACTTCAGTCAGCTGGGATCTCACTGAATAGCCAGGACTGCTGATAAATGATGGAAAGTGGCTTGGTGACCACTTCTGCTGGCTCACTCAGTACCCATGCATATCTAAGTGGTGTAACAGGTCACTAACCATTTTCTCTTGGATTATGGAGGCTTCATTCTGCTCCCCATCCTTATCTTCCAGCTCAAGGGGCTGGTTACCAGGAGAACAACCTGTCTTACTACTAAAGGCTGAGGCAAAAAAAACATTAAGTACTGAAATTAAGATGTGAAATTTAGGGATTTCCTGAGATAACTTTATATCTGCATCTGTGTTTTTAGTAGCCCTCAGCAGGTTTTTCTTCTGTCGTTATGTCTAGTTGTTTATTTGGAAGCAATTTACTTTTTGTTCTCCATGATATGGCCTGCATAATTCTGCTTTTTATGAAAAAAAAAAAAAGTTAGTTCTGTCACTTTGCTTTAAACTTGCTGTCTGCTTGGATTATTGGTTGAGTCTACGTTCTTGTATTGTGAGATACAATGAAAATAATTCTGTATTCACCCTCTGAAGGTACTTATGTATTACAGGCACCTATCCTATCTCCCTTCTTCATTTTGCCTCAGGTATTGTTTTTCCAATACAGTCATAATGTTTAATTCTCCTCATGAAGAATCAGTACAGTATGTTCAATCACGATCATTGCCCTTCTTTCTGTCTACCTGTTGTAGATCCAATGAAAATTTTTTGAGGTAGGGAAGTGGGACTGCTTGCAGTATTCAGGATGTGGATTTGAGGGGTGCATAATGATGCTTTGTATTTTGTTCTGTAATTCCATTCCTAATGTTTACCAGTTTTGATTTTATAACTGCAGTTAGCTTGCATATGCTGTAAATCTCTTTCTGAGTAGCTACAGCCCATAAGTCAGTATGTTGTGTTTCCTCTGGTCATGGCCTTCATTTGTCATTTTTTGACAGTCAGTCAGTAAAATGTCACTTTTGCAACACTTGACAGTCACCTTTAATTTTTACTAGTTTGAACAGTTGTGTACCACCTAACTACTCATCCTTCTTTACTGAATTTATTAATACACCAAAAAGCACATATCAGCAGTATTTTGCTGGTAATTCCCATTCATGTTGAGTATGGCCACTTTTTTCCAAAGAATGCATAGGATAACCTATATGTTGGTACAATGTTTATAATTAGCTGTAAGTAGTTGTAAATCAAAAGAAATACGTAGTGAAAGACATCAGTAATATGATTTGATGAAATCTTTCTTATATTTGCTAATGATATAGCTAAGAGGATTACCAATAAATGTGTCAATGAATTTTAATGTTTTTAAAAATGCAGGAGATACCTGATTTTTTAGTACCTTACTGGGAAAACATAGAAAATGCATATGTCAGCACCATCAAAGTTATACTTAGATGCCTAAGGGATGAACAGCACTCTATAATTTATTACTTAGCAGGCATTAGGTGAGTAGAAAAAGTACCCTACCACTTTAGTATTCATATTTTGTATGTTTCATCTGGCATTCTATTTGTATTTTAACATTACAATTTTTTTGGCCATAATTTACAGAAAAAATTTCCAAGATTATTTAAAGCGCCCAGATCTTAAGCAGGAGTTTGTATCTCAATGGCAATCAGATTTTAATTCAATTGCTGATGACCTGCGAGAAGATGAGGAAACAAAAGCAGAACTACATCAAAGAGTTACTGTAAGTTAATGACAAAAGTTATAATATACCCTATCACTTGTTTGTATACAATCTTCGTGTAACATGAATGATATTATTATTTACATTTTTTTTGGCTCTTTACCACTCCTCTTAAACTAATTAATTTCTTGTTGTACATAAAGTGATATGTCACAATTGGTGTGGCTTGTGGCCATGCCTTTCTTTTGTCTTGCTTCTTTGTTTAAGTTATACTGTCATATTCTGGTACATTTTAGAGTAAGAATTTCTCTGCTTTCTTTTTCTTTACATTGTATGGTTTTCAGAGATTTTTCTTATAGGTTTGGTCATTTCCATAACATTCTGGCAAATCTTGTCAGCCATTTAGTTTTTCCGTAAATGAGATATGGTAATATATTTGTTCTAAAGCTGATTCATACAAAGTACAGAGAATTTCTGTGAAATGTTTTGATGCAGGTAAGTGTTTGCTCTCATACCTCCCCTGAGAGCTCTTCACAGAAATACATAGCTGTAAAGGTCCTAACAAGTTCGGAGCCAATTTAAACATAGGCAGGAAATGGAGCTATCTTTGAATTTACTGGATTCCCACTTCAGAACAGACATAAACAGAATTCTACACTATCCTATATTGCTTTCAGAAGAAACATACTTCTGCATGATTTTTCATTGAAATCAAGTCAGGAAATGCTCTGAGAAAAGAGAAGAAAACGACAGACACATTTTTAGTTGTAGGGAACATTGGTAGAATTGATTCACAAAAATGGAAAAAAAACAGTACCTCCTTTTATATAACATTATTTCAATAGGATGAAATAGAAGACTTAACAATCATCATTCATATTCCTAATTTCCAATAAATGGAATTACAAAAAAAAAAAAAATGGAATCCCTCTGTCTTATATTTTAGAAAGCTAAAATTTTAAGTATTTGACCTTTCACTCATAACAGAGATCCTTGTTTGACATTCTAAATTTCAAATTAAGCTAAGAGGATGAGATAGTGCTATATTTTCTGGACATTTAGGCAATGAGTCTCAGGCACTGTGATAATGCTAAGCACCATAAGTAAGACTGTTTGTAGTCAATGCATGACTACCAGGAATTCTGTTTCCAAATTACCCATTCTAGTCCTTGTGGATTCCAAACCTGTGAGTGAACGTGAAAATGATGCTTCCTCTGTGCGTTTAGGCCAACCTGTTGTACCTCCGCAAATGTGAGAATTCTGTCATTCATCCGTGTTACTAGAAAAGAAGAGAGAGGAAATGAAAAGGGCTGGAATCTGTGGAATATATTTCCTTAAACATTTCTGCTTTCCCAGACTGCTGAACTCTGTCATCTCAGCTGGACCCTTTCTGAAACACCATCCACAATGGAAGCTGCCATGTTGTGAAACCCATAAACCACATTTCTCTGATACCAACTGGAAAATGGAAAAAGATATCCCATCTTACCATGTGTGAAAAATCCCTCAAAAGCTTTGACATCGAAGGCTCTGACATCCAAGGACTTGGCAACCAAACTCGTAACAGAATCACCACACATAAGATCTCTGTTACGCTGTCTTTTAGCAATTTATCTCACTTCCCACTCATGACTTTGCTATCATCTGATGTGTTCAGTCACTTGATCCTACTACATCTCTTGCCCTGTATAGGAGACATCTTAGCACATGCATCCATTTTTCTTTCTTCCTCTACCTGAGTACAAAGAAAGAAGGGGAGAGAAGCTGTTTCTTTTTGAAATAAGATAGAGTGGTGAGAGAGAAAAAGAAGAGACACATAAAACATGTTTTTGGCTTCTCCCTGAAAAAGATAGCTCACCATCTACTTTTCCAGCTGTAGCCACTATTTACAGTAAATCAAAACTGTGACCTGCATAAGATGAGAACCAAGAAGAAAATGCTGCTTGTTACTTGTTGCAGGAAGATACTCTAAAGAACTGTATATTAGTTTGTGCAAAATACTAGTTTGTGTAAAATACTAGTTTGTGTTATTTGTATCCACAAAACGAGTCACTTGTAAGCTTATATCTTTTTATTCAGTAACAGTTCCTTATGTGTATATCCTACAGTGCGGAACAACCACAGGTATCTGACAGCATTCAGTTTGGCTACCTTCTTTCTATGCCACCGCTGTGTTAAGTAGCTCAAGGACTATTAATTTGTCAGCTTCCCTGTGGCTCTTGTCCAACTGAGGACAGCTGAATTTGTCTGAAGTTTTCAGATACAGTGAGAGAAACAGGATCTGACTGACTAGGTTGAGACCCTGAGCTGGTGAATATGGAATCACTCATCACCTGAAACCTAACCTCCTTGTTGTAAGGGTAGTAGTCTGGAACAGCTTTCCTTTCTTCCCAGAATAAATCAGGTGATGTAGAACTGCTTGGAGACTGAGAAACAGCTTGCCTGAGCATACCACAGCATTTAACAGCTCCTTTTTCTTGTCTTTTCTTACCCCATAGAGGTCTGTAATGCCACTTCCATGTGGAAATGGTAGTGGGGAACAGAAGGTTTTCATGCATGTTTTATGCTTACTAGGTTCTCAGTGTTGACAGTGATCTACATAGCTGCTGTTAGATGTAGTAAATTGGAATGGGCTAAAGTTGTGCCAGGGGAGTTTTAGGTTAGATGTTAGGAAGAACTTTATCGAAAGGGTTGTTAGGCATTGTAATGGGCTGCCCAGGGAAGTGGTGGAGTCACCATCCCTGGAGGTCTTCAAAAGACATTTAGATGTAGAGCTTAGTGATATGGTTTAGTGGAGGACCGCTAGTGTTAGGTCAGAGGTTGGACTCAACGATCTTGAGGTCTCTTCCAACCTAGAAATTCTGTGATTCTGTGATTCTGTGAAATTAGTGAAGAGCACTTAGTTACTTAGTTATATAACACCATCCATGTTAAAGCAAGAATAGAATGGAGCTATGCAAATAGCAGAATGTTTGAATAGTGAGATGATTTTCTCAGGATCATTCATATTGCACATCCCCTTAGAGTTCTCCTTATATTTATATTGCAAACCCTTCAAGTGGAAAGTTGCTGGTACTGTTAGGAGCTTAGCTACTCTTGTTCTGAAGTCTTTGTCTGGCTTAGATAGGGCTTTGCTTGGTGAAAGCAAGGCAGCCTAGTACTGTACTATGCATTAATCTTATACCTCTGGAGTCTACTCTTTGGCACACTTGTAAAACTACTTTCTGTCAGCTGTCTATAAGCACATAACTCTTGGACCAGGCTTAGACTTTAATAACAATTTAAAAAAAAAAAAAAAAGAGGAAGATGCCTTGCACACAGGCAAAAATATAGTTTTTAATAATAAATAAAAATTTATGTGTGTTTTATTTCATAGTTATTTCTCATATTTTATTTTGTGTTTCAGGACTTAAGAGATGTTCTCTGGGATATCTGTGATAAAAGAAGGGAAGAAGCAGAGCAGGAATGTACTGATATCATGAGTGATGGCTGGTTACTGGATCATAAGGGGATTGCAATAAACCATTTTTTTTCACTTATGCAGGTATGATATAGACTCTACGATAGAGTTTGCAATGGAATTAGACAACGAATTAGATTTGGAAGACAGTAAACCTCGGAGGAATTTCATGTTTGGCTTTGAATAAATGAGGGATCAAGAATTAGATAAGCAAATGTTCATACCTCTTCTGATTTTATCTAGAATGTTAGAGATGTGTGATTTTATCTAGAATGTTAGGGAAGTGGATGACAATCCATATATTTACCCATTTTGCAGGCAGAAAAATTTAAGAAAGACAACATTGTTATTGTCCAACACCATGAACTTTCAATCTGTAATGAATAGTGCTACTTTTGAAGTTTTATCAGTCCATTGAATTATCTGAGTTTTGTAACAGAAACGTTAAAACTGATTATACTTTTGTGATCACATTAATATCAGCTTTTTATATACAAATTACATAATTGACCATGGTTGTAGACACACTTACTGCTAAGATTGTCTTGTGTTTCCCATATCAAGAAATTATTTCAGTTGTAACTTCACCAGTGTGGCTTGAAATTTTACCTAATCTTAAAAAAACATATACAGTTGTGAGGAATGTTTTTGAGAAAGTGATGTTATTTGTTATTCTTGAGAAAATCCATTGAAATGTGGTGCAGCTTTCACACATCTAACTTTACAGTTTTCACAAGGCCATCTTCACTTAGGTGGCTCTTTCAGCCAGACTGTGAATTACTTCAGTTCCTGAAGTAAAGTAAAATTTATTTTCCTGTGACTGCCATTTTTAGGTAGATAAATTGGGTTTAGGGCTGGATGGAATGGAATGGAATGGAATGGAATGGAATGGAATGGAATGGAATGGACAGGCATTTCTGTAAACTGAGTGACCTTGCTTTCAAAGTTTTGGCAGCATTAAAGAAAGTGGTGAAATCAGTGCTTGAAACACATGCCATGTTATGCTAATTTAGTTGAAAAGTCAGGATGAAAAAGTACCTTTGGTTGGGCTCCCCGGCCTCTAACTCTGTGTTATCTTTATAGATTTATTAAACAAGGGAACCACTCTCTTATCTTACATGAATGTTGTGGCAATCTAACTAAATTATAGTAGGGAAATTATTAACTCTATTTTCAACAAGCCTAAATAATGCCACAAATAAAAACTAAGGTCATTGACTAAATTAAGAGATCTAAATATCAAATACCTGCTGACTAACTGAACAGCATTCATTAGGTTATTTATATAATTGTGTATTTAAATTCTGTATCTTAAATAATATGTGCAAAGAAGCCAAATTAAAATAATATCGCTGAGCTTAAATCTTGTCTTTTTCTATTTTTATATTCATGTATAGGTTTGCAAGCTTAATTCTCTTTGGCAGAGTTTCATTGACATGTATGATGCAGTCCAGAAGAGATTCACTATGAATCTAGTTTGATCTGTCTTCTGTGGATATGCAGAATAGACACTTAAGATGAAAAATATATTAACAATATGTAATATTTATGTTTTTCCCTAAGAAAAAAATCATTTATACTTTCCTTATTTATTATGCTTATTTATTTTCCTTTTTTAGTATATACTCCCCAAATTAAATGAATTATTGTTACAACTACAAAAATAAAAATATAATAACTAAATCCTTAAGTTATGGCTTTGTTTGAGAAACAACCAAAAATAGACTTTGTTGGTCTTGAGTTCTCCTTTTGCGGGTTTTTCTGTGGGAAGCTACATATATTCTCCAGGTGGTTTTGTTACTGTATAAACATATAGATTTGTAAAAAATCCGTTTAACAAAGTCTTAACCTTAGGAAGGTTATATCAGATTTCTTTCCGCCTTTCTTTGTGTTCACTGTCATAATATAAGATATTTTTCCTTAACTTATGGATAAGTGCTTTTTTATACCACAAAGGTTTTATTCTTTGTTTTGTGAATGTGGTTTTGTGCATTTTCCCATGAATTTTGTCAGTTAGAAACTAACACTGTTCTGTATCAATAAATCAAAACATGACAGGTGTTAAATGTTTTTTGAATCTTGATTTCTCCTGAGGAGATTCACAGAAAAAACCTTCAAGGTATTTAGGTGTCTAAAGTCTGTTGATTTCATTGTCTAGGATAAACTGTGTGGCTTTTAAATTGTTTTGTCCATCACTTAACTCTTTTTATTTTATGTTATTAAGGATTTTATTTATTTTGACCAAAGTGATCACTGTAGTTTGTTGGTGCTGGTATACTTGCTAGCACAGGAATACATACACATGAAAATATATTATAATTAAATGTAATGTATCAAACATTGCTTATTGGAAATATTTTTCCTATTCTAACAATTAAGATTTTTATCATTGTTAGAAATTCTTGCGTGAAAATTAAGAATGTAAATTTCAAAGACATTGTTGATGCCAGTGGAAATTGTGTTAAATACAGTATAAATATTCAAACAAATATGGTTATGTTTGTCGTTCTCCCTAAAACTTTTATGTTTTAGAATTGCTTTTGTTAGTGTCTATTTAAAAATGTAACAGAATTTTGTTCTGTCCTGTTTTGAATTTCAATCTTTCCGTTCTTTCTTCTTGAGGTTGAAGTGGATCGTTTCCAAGATACAAAGAGACTACTTCGTGATTATTACAAGGCAATGGAAGGAAAAATCCCAACAGATGACAGTCAAAATTTTACTAGACTCCCATTGCTAGATATTATTGATATAGAGCAGAAAGAAGATCAGAGCAAATCAAGAAGGTAGAAATACATTATTAAATCATACAAATATCAAAAATTATAAGGCATTCATTGCTTTATGGGTGAATGTGGAAACAAATGTGGGTATATTTCAAAGGATTGGGAAATAAGAATTTTTAACTACTGACAATAGTTAAAAGATGAATCTTACATCATTTTGTACGTTTAAGTTATTCCTGATTTTTGACTGATCATTTCATTTTCACATCATTTTCACTAATACAACTCTGAATTGTAAAATGTTTCAAAAGCTGCCTTAGAAAGAAATCTGTTCTAGGAATATTTCCTACTTCCCAATGCATTGCTGACAGTTTTCAGCACAATCCTCATGTAACTAACTTAAATACTATTAGAGAGCATTAACAGTTTTAATATGTGCACAGACAAATGTAATGAAATGGGTCATGTAATGACAAATATAAATCAAAGCAGCCTAGCAAAACTCACAGAATTGAATGCAATATTAAAGGTAATGGATACCATCAAATAATTTGACAATATCAAAAACGCTGTCAACACCTATATTTTTTAATACTTACAGCTCATTTAGAAAACATCTGAATAATGAGGCTGTGCTTCTAGCCCACATCATTAGATCACACAGACATTTGACATAGTTTTATCCCTCTATTATTATTCCTTAGTTTCTATAGTTAAACTAGCCAATTTTCTTGTCATGCACACATTTTACCACTAATGGTCATAAGGAAAGTTCATCCTTTTTCTGTTGCTGTGATAAATTTTGAAAATAACATTTCATTCTCTTTACATATTCTCCAAAATAGTTATAAATTATCTCTTTACAAAGGGGAAGTGATTTATGCCTTATATTTTATTTTTCAGGATTCCTCTAGTTTCTGTAAAACTGCATTTACAAGAAACAAATATTACCAAGTCAAAAAACAGGGGAATTCTACTGAAGAGTATTAAGGATGAAAATTCTTCTGAAAATGTAGCAGCCACTTTTGGCAAAGATGAAAATCTTATTTCTGATACATGGCAAACAGCAGTAACAGCAGTATCAGATATGGTAAGGAATGTTTTGTTTACTTAAAGATTTCTGGAAAGGACTGTCAAGGCTTCCCATTCAGTATGTAGCCTGGACACACAGCCTTCACACTGTGTATCACAGTTTCATGTGTGTTACTCCCCTACTGATATTTCCATTGAATACATCTGCATTTCTATGAGGTAATTGTTGGATCTGTGTATTATCAGATCTGCAGAATTTCCATATTTGGAACTGACCCTTTCATTCCAGTACAGAGAGAAATACTTTGAATGTTGGCTCTATATATCTACTTCTTCCATGATAGACTCTCCCCTAATTCTTCAATAGAACCATGAGAAGGATGTCTAATCCTGGGATACAAGTTTTGTTCAAAATTTCAAAAACCATGGATACATCCTTTTTTATATATAGCTAAAAGTAAATGAGATTGTTCTCCTTTTTTTTGTTTGTTTGTTGCTTTTTTTTTTCATAATGATCATTTAAAAACAATTGAAATTCTGCAGCCTTACAGTGTAACTGTAGTGTTGCTTGTGTACAGTCTTACATTTCACATCTGACTCTTACTTTTCACACTTTTTCCCAGAGTAGGTACATAGTGGATTACAAGAAGTAAAACTACCATCTTTGTCTTAAACTTTTGCTGTACAATTTTATTTTTGATACGTTGATTACATTCTGATCATTTATTACTTTAAATATCTCTTATATTTAAGTGTGTATGTCTTAGCTAGTACTTGCAATAAGTATAGGCTATTTAAAACAATAATTGGATAGTACTGATGCCATTTACTTGATTGTGTGTGTGAATATGATGTGAAGGTAACAGCTGAAATGAAGTCATGGGAGGAAGAGAAAGAACAGCAGCTAGATTCAAAAGAAGATCTGAAGTCTTCTCAGACCACATCAGGCAAAGATACAGGGAAGAATGCCAAAGATACCAAAAAGCTTTCTCCCAAATCACCTACTAAAAAGAAAGGTATTTGAAATGCTGACTTTGTTTTAGAAGTGCTTGAAATTACTGAAATGTAAATGTGGCAGTAATATGGGAAGGGGTAACCCAAGGTATTTAGTTTATATTTAATTTCTCTTTTGAAATGTCAAATATGTGAAAAGCTGCTGATGATAAAGGAATGCAGAGGCTGTTGAATGACAGTTGGGTATATTTAATCTTATGTGTTATCGTTATTATTATATATGGATTGATATTCAAAATAAAAAGTAAATATTAATTTTTATCCATGTGCTGTTGTGGAATGAGAGAGTTAGAATTATCAACTTAAATGAACTCCCATTGAATTCCTCCTACTTTCCAGTCAAGCTAAAATGTTTCAAGCATAAAAAAAAAAAAAAAGAACAAAATCAAGACATTAGCCAATATCTGAAGATATTTCTGAATGAATTCATTAGTAATTATAGTAATTTAGATCTACCAAGGTCCATCATTTTAAAATGTAACTTAAAGATGGTGTAAGGAAAATAAAATCTAATAGCATTTATAGTCCTAAAAAAGAGTAGGCTCCTGTTGAGGTAGATCTTGCAAATAGGCCTGGCAAGAGTCTGTCCTACCCTCTTATTTTTCACTGTGCATGTAAGAATACAAACTTTACTTACACAAGACAAAAAGACCTAGAAGACTCTCTGTGTTTAGCTTAGTAATTATCTAACAGTCTGCTGGGAAGACTCCTGTCATTCAATGCTATTTACACATTTTTTCATAAACACTGCCTTGAGCAGGTAGTGGTTTAAGTAACTGCCATAACTTTCTGCAAAAGTCATAGCTTATGCAAGAAGTTAGTTTAATAATATGAACCTTGTGTCTTTTGTTAAGACATTCTGCAAATCAAGAGAGGGGCTTGAGCCCTCCATGTGTGGGGGTAACCTGAAGTTCAGGTGTTCCATTTCCTGTGAGAAAGCTGTAACTGCAGAGTTATTTTGCATAAGGCAGGTAGCATTTTTTCTTTGGCAGCCATTTTATTTGCAATGTACTCAGTCCTGCCTCTCTGGTTGAGTTGTGCTCATACTACAGTGAACAGGTATGGCCTTGCAAATACTAAGCTGCGTGGATACTGAACCTGCAAGCTCCGGGGAGATTTAGCTATGTACTTGTCTCCTCAATTCAACCAAGAAATTCATAGATGTTTAGTTTTCTAAAAAAGATTTGTGATAAAAAATCAGCAGCTATCAGCTATTGTATGCTAAGTGGCTATGTTAGGCTTTTGTGGATTGCTTCTTGGAAGTAATTTTTTTTCAGATCTGGTACTAGATGACTTACCTGAAGTCACAAAAATAGGAAGTGACAAAAGTGTGACTGGAACTCAGCTGTGAACTCCTCATGATACAAAATCAAATATCAATTGATGCTTGTTTTATTGTTTATTATGAAAACTGTTACTGTAGTGCTCCTGTAACATAAGAATTCCCTTACTTAGAACTACAGGCTAGTAACCGAGTGTTGCAATATATCACATGTAATTTTATCACTTCAAGATTTGACTGTTTGCTTTATGTTTACTTTATATATCATGCAGATGCTATTGTAATTTTCTCTAACTGCTTTGTCTGCTTTTCTTCTAGGATAAAGCAGTTACAAAGATTAATATTTTTGAATAACAGTCAAGGTGTTATGTATGCAGAAATAATTTTATGCATGATGAAATACTATGTTTACAATATCTGTTCACAGCTGTGTAAGCTAAAACAAGATGCAAAGGTAGCTCACAGATTGCTAAACTTGATTTTGCTGCAGAAGGAACAGTTATCATTTAAAAGAGGTGTACTTATATACAGACTGTTATGAATTGGTAGATTTTAAGGTCAAAGAGGCCATTTTGACTTTCCAGGATCACAGTGGAGGTGTATATATTCAGTCATGATTTTCCATTCAGAAATAAATTTTGGGATGTTGTTTAACCAATTTTAATACAGATGTATACATTGGACTATTTTTATGCAGCATTAATCTTAGCATGTCATGCAGATGTAAATCATCTTTGAAGAAAACTAGCTGTTTTGTTGACATAAGACAACTGCGTAAACACATTTGCGTCCTCATAAATGGTCATACCAAGTGAGGTGGAAAGTGCCATGTGTCATTTCAAAAAACGCACTGTCTTGTGAGTGCCTGTGTGCAGACACACAATTACCATCAAAGTCCAAAGACTGTGAGTGGGACTATTTTTCTGCAGGACTTCCTTCTAATGTACCTGTGGTCGAAGTCAGTCCAGTTCCTTTAACCTCTGAAGAATTAAAGAAGCAAGAACTGACACTTAAAATACAGCAAGAATATTTTGCTGCCCTGAAACATGAGGGTATGTTACTGTTTGGCTACTTACATTTGGTGGTGATCATTATTCCTAATTTAGGTAATGTAACAGTGAAAACTAACCAGAAACTCTTTGGGGGAAGATGGATGGGTAAGCAAAGTAAGGTAGAGAAAATGACTACCTGAGTGGTAGTCATCAGGGAATTTTGTGATAGATATAGCAAAATATAAATGTTTTTCTTTCATGTCATGTCATGTCATGTCATGTCATGTCATGTCATGTCATGTCATTTCCACAACTAAGCAAGTATTCTTCATGAAAGAATAAGTTTGAGATGGGCCACTCATCAGTATTCAATTGAATTGAGTTCAGTATTTTAATTGTTTTGATCTGTGGAAGAATTTTTTGGCAATTACATATTTAATTGATGCTCTTCTCTCAAGTTTCATCTTCCTCAAGCTGTGCAGGATTTAAGCAGAGAGACACGTTTGCTTTTTCTTCCAAAGCCCCTACTAAACAGACCCTTCCAAAAAAGCACGTATGACTCAGCTTTCTGTCTCTTTGTCCTGACCAATAACTTCCAAGCCAATTGGTCACTATCAGCAAAAAATAGATGTCTGAAAAACAGAAATTCCAAACTGAAAATGAATCGATTTTTTTTGAAGATTTTTTTTAGTAGAATAAAAGAACTCATTCACACTAAAGAATAGATAGAGTTTAACTGTTACACATTCTATACAGGAGCAGTTGGCAGTTAGCCTTGGCTGGGCTAACTTTTACGTAGTACTTATGAAAACTAGAGGGCAAACACCGGTTAATAAACAAAACACAGACTCACAGAATCGTCTAGGTTGGAAGAGACCTCCAAACTTACCGAGTCCAACCTCTGACCTAACACTAACAAGTCCTCCACTAAACCATATCACTGAGCTCTACATCTAAACATCTTTTAAAGACCTCCAGGGATGCTGACTCAACCACTTCCCTGGGCAGCCCATTCCAATGCCTAACAACCCTTTCTGTAAAGACGTTCTTCCTAATATCCAACCTAAATGTCCCAGGGCACAACTTTAGACCATTCTCCCTTGTCTTGTCACCAGACACGTGGGAGAACAGACCAACCCCCACCTCACTACAGCCTCCTTTAAGCTACCTGTAGAGAGCGATAAGGTCGCCCCTGAGCCTCCTTTTCTCCAGGCTGAAAAATCCCAGCTCCCTCAGCCGCTCCTTGTAAGACTTGTTCTCCAGACCCCTCAGCAGCTTCGTTGCCCTTCTCTGGACTCTCTCCAGCACCTCGATGTCCTTCTTGTAGCGAAGGGCCGAAAACTGAACACAGTACTCGAGGTATGGCCTCACCAGAGCCGAGTACAGGGGGACAATCACTTCCCTAGCCCTGCTGGCCACACTGCTTCTTATACAAGCCAGGATGCCGTTGGCCTTCTTGGCCACCTGAGCACACTGCTGGCTCATATTCAGCTGACTATCAACCAATACTCCCAGGTCCTTCTCTGCCAGGCAGCTTTCCAATCACTCATCTCCCAGCCTGTAGCTCTGCTTGGGGTTGCTGTGCCCCAGGTGCAGGACCCGGCACTTGTCCTTGTTGAACTTCATGCAGTTAGCCTCAGCCCATCGGTGCAGCCTATCCAGATCCTCCTGCAGAGCCTTCCTACCCTCGAGCAGATTGACACATGTACTTAACTTGGTGTCGTCTGCAAACTTACTGAGGGTGCACTCGATCCCCTCATCCAGATAATCAATAAAGATATTAAAGAGAACTGGCCCCAGTACTGAGCCATGGGGGGTTTACAGGGCTTCTCTAGCACCACACCAGACCAGATGTCTGTATATCTGCCACTTTCCTTTAAGATACTCTCAGTTGCTTAGAACTTCTATGTCTTTGCCCTCAAATCAAATAACCTTTCTATGAGACCCAAATCACTGCTAGGTGTAAAATTTTGATCAACTATTTCTTGCTTAATGTAGGAAGTGCTCAGTATTGCATTCTACTGTGACTGAGAAATAACATTAAAATGACCTGTCTCATACTTTTCACAGTTCATCTTTCTACACTAGCTGCCTAAAGAAAGTTTTAGCCCCAAAGTATTTTGAAAGCTTAGTAGTACATAGAGTAAGAATTATAAATATTTTACATTCTTTAACTTTGAAGCCACTATGCCAATTACTATATAATATTACTTATTTGAAAGATTCTGTCACAGAGAAGGTTAAATATAAAGAAAAAATCAAGTTGAACACTGAATTGGTTTATGTTTGAGAATAATATTCAGCTACTCTTCTCTCATTCTTCTTTTCTAAGGCTTTAAAAAACTGTCAGTGTCTGTTTCATGTCTCTATCAATACATTTTCTTACCTGTCTCTTCATCCAGTTCATATCCTTTTCACCTTGGATATTGTTCCCGTATTTTGTCTTTTCATCTCCTTTCTTCTCTATTAGTCTCTCAGTGAAAAACTCTCTCTGTTCTTTCTATTCAGAAATCTAACAAATTCTGAATTCTGAAATTCCCAATGTTTTTAAAAGTTTAAATTGAATATTCTATGCATAATTTTTGTAACGATTAATTACTTTCCTAGTGGACACTAACCAAATGAAAGCTGAGTTTTAGGGTATAAAATAGTCATACTTAGAAAGGTTGGAGCAAAACCAAGGAAGTTAATTTTGAAGAGCTGGAAGTTAGGAAAAGAAAAGCAAACTTTTGTCATGATTAACACAGATAACATGTTACACTTCCATTGTTACGCTGCTAGGTGTGTTTGCTATATAATGTTAATTAGTTTGATGTCACTGTGTACTTAAACATCCCCTGCACCTCTGCATTAGCTTTATTAAGATATTTGTTACATTGTGAATTCTGATACTTATGGAATACATAGTTTTGTAAAATAAATGGTGCAATAAGGGTAATTCTGAAAAATTAATAATTTAAGAACATGAGAAATAAATATTTTGCTGCCTAAGTACAGATTAAGGTACTTCGTACTTCGGAAGCTTAAGGGTGAAAATTCCTGAAATTTTATAAGTATTAATTATTATTATTATTAAAAATATTTTAACAGAAGAAGCCACCAAATCTCGTCTAGATCTTATAAAAGAAAAAGCATTAGCATATATTGAAGAACTAACAGTGAAATCAGAAGAAGCTTATAAAGATATGGAAAAGTGGCTTGGAGCCAGGTTCCTAGCAGAAATGTCCAGGTAACGTATATCCAATCTTGAGCAAGATTCATTTATTTATTTTTTTTTTAATTGACTAATCTGGTAAGGGTGTTTGTTTATATAGAACAAATAATTTGCAAAATGTACTAGAAAATAATCATTTCATTTCATGAGCTAAAATTGAATTTTATCTTAAATAACTGAATGGTAATAACACGTTTCTTCAATAATTAGAAGGTTCCGCTGGCAATGGTAGAGGTAATTAATTATCAGTTTTACTGTTTTGCTAGGCTACAGATTTAGCAATTTATAAGCATCATCAGACAATCAGATATTCAATTTCCTAAAAGTCTGTATATCATTTCAGTGGTTTTTGTCACTTTGATTGTAGGTGTGTTTATTTATTGTTATTTATTTTTATTTTTCTTTCTGTACTATACAAATGCTGGAAAGCTCCACCTACTGTTATGAACACTATGTACATGTATAGCATTAATCAAAAAAAATAGTTCAATGTCTTTTTTTTTCTTGGCCATTTTTCTCTTCTACCAAAATGTGCTAGGAACCACTATGTGACACTGAGGCCACCAGGCACAGAGTGGCCTATGTCTATGTCTATGATGTCACATTGCCTTTTGGAAAATATTTCTGGCCTGTGTTAAATTTCAAAGCATACTTGGGGCAGTGCTGGTTGGTTCATGTCAGTGCATGCTCAAGGATGTAATATGTGAAGGTTCTAGCAGGCAATAGCCCAAAGAGGCTGAGCTCTACTTGCTAGCCAGTTTTGTTGGCCCTCCTGACAACCTCTTCCAAAATACATTGTTTACAGAATATCATGTCCTTTGGATGGATGCAAGCATAATCCTGAAACCTCAGGCCAATTCCGTGCCTATACCTGTTAAAAAGTGTAAGTCATGCTCATCAGACTTGGAACAGCAGATCACGTATCTCTGCAGAATGCTACTCTAGAAAGTGTTTTGTAGATCTACAGTCTAAGGGCAGACTAGGGGATGAGGCATCGAGAATAACCAAAAGGATGATTACAAATGGAATATATATGTCTCCTATGAAATTTATGGAATAAATAAAGTTTCATCATTTCATATTTTTCCACCAGGTCTCTTATGTGGCTTAGATCTGCCTATATTTCTTACCACAGTAATAAAATGTGTTGCTGCCAGAGTAGGAGTACACTTCGTAATGATTTTGCTGAGTACAGAATTTACAAAGAGGATTTGTAATTTTTTTCTTCAGGAAAGCTCCCAGAGTGTAAACACATTAACATTTGAACTTGATATTAACATTCTCTGTTCAAAAGTACTTAACTGTTTCCTGCATTTACATTTTCACAGTGTTGAAAAGCTGATTGAGATAGGACGACACCACATTGAGTGTTCTAGCAAAATCCAGTATGAAATGACTTTAGAAGAAACAGATTTCTTCCTCAGCAGTGATGTGAAAGTGATTCCTGATCCTGTTCCTCCACCCCATGTTCCACAAGTAGAGACCTCTGACAGTGGTACTCTAACTATTTCACAGCTTAACACGTTTCATAAGCAGTTTCTACAAGTGGCACCTAAAGGTAAGAAAAAAAAAATCTGCTTTGTTCCAGAAAGGCAGTTAGATAGCTAATTAAAAAAAAGTAACTGCAAGGAGTTACTAAATATTAGTCACCTATACTGTTAAAGATCATACTACAGTTAAAAATGGTGCAAAATATAGAAGCAAAGTTAATAAAATATTAGAGTAAAGTACTAGAAATGTGAAATATCAGACAACTTGGAAGTTTTTAGTGTTTCTGTTATGGGCTTTGTATCTTCAAGACAACGTGCTTAATATTCTTCTATCTCTGTGTGTAGTATGTTTTTTAAAGAACTACGTATCATACTTTGCTTAGAAATCATTTCAAATGCAAGTCTTTAACTCATTTACTAATTCAGAACTCAGTGAACACTAAAGCTGTACTATTTTAAAACATATTGTTGAAAAACACTATTTTTATGATAGGGTCTATTAAACTGTTAATGATTATATTCTTCAAGTAAATGTATGCCAGTTGTTTTGGGTGATTTGCAAGTATTAACTCATATTTTTTCTTTCCTTTGTTAGTATATTTATTGTGTACCTACCCTCTAGTTATGGGAACTTTAAGTTTAGGACATTTAAAAATACTTTCTGTCAAAACTTAATACTGCTGTATTTTTAAACTGAGATTGCAAATAGTTACATGCATTTGCAGTGGATTGTACTACTACCAGTGTTCCAGATTATAACTGTGACTTTAGTACATGTGCCACTAAGATTGTGAAGCAGAATCCATAAATCCATACTTACAATTTTGGATCCAACTCTTCCAATATAATAAGGCCACCAAGGCACAATGATGTTGAATATAACCCTGTATTCACAAATTATTTTCATGCATAGTGGTGGAGAAAATCCATTTACCTTTTGAACATGAACGCATTTTAAGAAGAAAGATGTTAGGAGTTTTCCTTTAGAGAGATGTTTATCATTCTATCTATAATGCAGAGATTACTTGTGTGTGTGTAAGCATTCCATACTCCTCTACAGAGACTAAAGAAGCACATATTATTGTATATATATTGCCATATGAAACTAAAAATCTGTACACTTGTAATTAATTATTAGTGCCATAGAGGTAAACATACATGTACTACACAAATACCAGTTCTGACTGGTCATTCCCATTAAAAGGTTTTCTTTTGTTTTTTAAAAATATATTCATTAATTAAAATACTTAAAACTAAAAACATTGTCTAATACAAACTCAAATATTCTTGAAAATTTCAAGATAGAGATAAAGTGTTTTCATTGTGCCTTTGTAATAGATAGCAAAAATAGAAATGAAATCTTCAACTTTCTACAATATTGTCTTTTTGATATTATGTTCACTATAATGACCCAACAAAGCAAACTTTTTCTTTGTGCTTTTTCTTTCTTTGTGCTTTTTCTTTCTTTTCTTTAGCTTGGAAGATAAGACTCAGTCTTTTTAAGACTGAGTCTTAAAAAACTTAAAAGACTAAGTACATAGTAAGATCCAAACTCTGGAAGCTTACATCATAATTTTAGTCTTGGTAGACCATATAATTCATACCAGGAAGGCTCCTATCCAACATTCTTCATTCACTTAATGACAGAATGATCTAGGGCTGATCTCACAATTAGGCAGGACCCAAGTTATATACAATAATTTTTATTTGTATTGTGGTGATGGTGCCTGCTAGGATCCCATAGGATTGAAACAATTCTTTCAGCAAACCACAGGGCAGTCAGCAGAGGTAACATTGCAAATGACAGAACAATTGCTACAGTAAGTATCTTGCACAGCAGGGCATCTACTTTATCCTGAACCTTCATTGTTTCATTATTTCAAATTCTTTGTCAGGTGCAAATTGAAGAAACTCATTTTGATTCGTGCTGAAACATTATTTTCTCCAAGTATACAGGAATTCATCTAAACTTTCAAATTGGAAGCATGTATGTAATGTAGGAGACAAATATCCTCCAGCATAAGATCTTCATAGCTACTTCCATTGGGATGCCCTAGCTCCTACAAAGATATCCAGCTGTCACAGCATGACAATATTTCTTTGTAGTTTCTTCCTCTCTTGCCCCTTCCTGCACTCTGGAACAATGAAAAGAAATTATTTAAAGTACGGTTCTCAAGAACATGCAACAGCATTCTTCTACCGTCTGGTGACTATTAAGTCAAAATAATTTACCTTTTTGGACAGCTGATTTAGGATGTGATTTGTGCAAGGCATCTTTAAAATATATATATTTTTTCCATTCTTTTACGCACTGTAAAAGCATCCCAGATTTCCTAAGACAACCACTACCCTTCACCACAAGCACTAGACTCTACAGGGAGAGTTAAATCCTTCCTCTCATAAAATCAGGAAAAATTCTTTACATCCTTCTGTCTCCCCTTGTTTAATAGAATGCTCAGCAGAAAATATATGCCTCCTCCATGATTACTCTTGTATCGAATAAAACAAGGAAATACACTAAAGCACCCAACACATCGGCAGTGAAGTTGTTGGATAGCAGCTAGCTCTAAAGGAGATATAAAAAAGTAGCCAGCTAATAATCTTTCTATTGAAGAATCTCCAAACATCTAGATTTTTTTTGCCAAACATCTTAATCTTTTAATTCCTACTTGCCTGGGCAGTCCCCTGAGCATTTGTAATAGAAATACATCGGAGAACATAAGACTGTAGGGCAAGTCTACAACTTTTAATAAAATAAATCCACCAATCCTCTATACTATGTAAATAGCAAAATTCCTAAAGTTGTTCTGAAAATGGAATATTAGGCTGATTTTGTATAGCATTATGAAGATTTCATAAAGAAGAATTTTGATATTAATTGAAATAATAGAATCATAGAATCATTACAGTTGGAATAGACCTTCAAGATCATCAGGTCAAGGTCATCTTTCAATTTACCTAGAAAACCTAGCAAAACAAAGAGTGAAAAGGAGAGACTATGAGGTTGGAAGTAAACAGTTTTCTCACAGGATATTTGGCAGATGTCAAAAGGATGTGTTTTCAAATATGTCTAACAAATTGACAAAACGAAAGCAAAAAATGGGACTACCAATATACTTTAAAATTATTAGGTATTTACAAATGAAATCTTATAAAATTATAAACAGTTTTGTGTTCCCTAGGAATTTAAAGTATTAAAGAACTGCGGATTCATCATAGACAACTTGTTCTGTCCTGCATGCTCGGTTCTCCATGGAGGCACATTACTGACCATTCTAAGCACCGATGGACAAAAACTGTGACCTCTGCTGGACCTTCCTACATACTGATCCAGTCTTTCATTTGATAAGAAAATATTTAAATGTTTTATTTTATTAATTCAAGTGCCGTTGCCCCAACTCAGGGTGGCTCTGCAGTATTTGTTAATTTCACAAACACCTTTGATCTTTTTGTTAACAGTGGTTTAATATATTGCCTCAGGATTGTGCTTCTTTTTCATAGAAAGAACCGTGCCAGATATGAAATGGAGCTGATAACACGTCTTTCTGTTTATATGAACAAAATTAAACTAACCATGGATCTCATCTCCTCCAATTACATTTACTGTCTATTCAATTAGCATGCATCTGGAATTTCTCAAGTTTAAAGGTGCTTCAGAGAATGCAATTTTGGTAATGTTTCACATTATCAAACTGATCAAAATCGATTCTATCCTTGATTTTTATTCTCCAGTTTATGATTGGAGTGAATTTTATTTTTTTTTCTTTTTCTTTTCCACAGCAATGATCTTCATGAGCAATCCCAGTTTGAATTATAGAACTGATTATTCATCTGAAATAATTTTCAGTCAGGCTTTAAGCACTTCTAAATCCAATATCCAAAATTTAAAATGACTCTTTTAAAAAACTTTGAAGCAGTCTGCTAAGATGTGAGCAGTCCTCAGTAATTTTGCCAAATGTGATTCAAGATTTGTCAACCATAGGAGCCAATCAATAACCAAACTGTATTGATATTTCTTTTTTCTATCTAATTATAGATTTCTCAGTTGAGTTTTGCTGCGCTGCCAGATTTGGAACAGATAAGTGTATCAGTGTACATAGTAGTGGTCAACAGTAGTTCTGTTGACTTTTTTTTTTCCTTTTTCATAAAAGGTTTTGCTTAGTGTCAGAGTCCAAATTGCACACAGATCATGAATAATGTGTACAGATTATGCTATCTCTTCTGAAGTACTTTTGTAGAAAAAGCTCATGAACTTATGATGGTAGCCGTCATGATCTGACTTTGGTGTGAATAGGGGCTGAAACTTATATGCAAATATGGAAATAAGTTCTTCATCTATAACTTTTATCTTTCTAAGACTAGATTTCAATGTGTTTTTTTCTTCAGAACTTGAAAATAAGAAAGTCTAAGTTTGTAGGCAGAGGACCTATCTTTTACTAGACCAGAAATATAGATAGAAAATGCGTAAACTTTTGAGAAATAAAGCCCTTCATCAGAAGGGCTTTGTACCCAGGACAGGTACAATACCTCTCCTTACAGATATTGGAAAATTTGTTAATTCTAATTACTTTTACTTTCATTTCCCCACACACACACTCTGTTGGTCTTCTATTGTATAAATATCATGTATATTATTTAATTTCAGTAGCTGTTACTGTTTGCCTATGTTGTTTAAAAATCCGTGTATCCAATTACTTTTATGAAACATTTAACATCTTTGTATGTCTGTGTACTTGAATACATATATCCCAGTATCAAGATCCCTATGAGTATAACAGAGGAAGTTTTCTTTCCCCTCATTTCACCCGTGTAGCAACTAGAATAACTTACTCTGAGATTCTACATTTAAAATCCTAATTCTTGATAATTAGTAACGATTAGGCATGTAATGCATCAATAATAATTAGTGAATAAATGGAGTAAATATTTCAGTGAGAAGCACTTGCACGGTGATGAGTATTTGATGAGTATCTCAATTTCTTGTTGGGAATGAATCATATTGAGATTCCTGTCTTTTTCACTGAATGACAGTATCCCCTATTAATACCTTTTAGTGGTGCAAATGCTAAATTTGGATGAATATAATTCAGCCTAAAGATTTGGTTCATTCATTTATCCATTGCAGTATTGCTACAGTCTGGTGTGTAACATGCATAGATCTCTGTCATCCAAACATCTAGCCAAAAATATAATAGGATAGAGTAGAATAAACTTGAAAAAGGGAATGAAATGTCAAAATAATTCTTGTCTGTAGTATAGATTTACAATTTCTTCATGTTTTGTTGCTTGTATAAATTTCTAATCTCTATCTTTCCTACAGCGTTCCTCAGTTTAGAGAGAAGAACCCTATTTTCATACAGTGCCAAACTGGAATTTATAATCAAAATATTGTACTGCTGTCTTGTGTGTCATTAGAAAACAGTCTCTTTGTATCTACCTGTGTTTTATAACTGAGGCATTGTGATTACTCTTTATGACACTTCAAAATGCCTCAGCCCTGTTTGCAGGGTATATATCTAGTAACTTATGTTACCATTCTTAATGCTCCATTTTGAAGGATTACTTTTCTGTTTTCAGTTTCAGTTGTGGTCATAATCTTAATTACTTCTTTTTTTTTTTTTTTTTTTCATTTGTTTATTATATTTCTGCATTGGTTATTAAAATAGATGTAAATGCATGTCCATGTCAGCTGGTATATCACTGAATGATATGATCTTTAAAACAGATTTAACGGATTTTAATGAAGGGCTAACTTATGTAGATTTTTCTACGTATGCTTTCCCTTTCATTTCATTGATGACAAAAATTTTTGTCAAAAAGAAATAGCTCCATAAGTAGAGAAGGTGAAGTTTGTTTTTTTTTTTTCAAGTTTTTTCAGTAGTGAAGCTTTCCTTTTGTATCCTGTGTTCTTTCCATAGTACCACTGCAATAAATCCAGCCCTTTTCCCATATTCCCGATTTCTTCCCAATAATGCACCTCCTGCTTCATTCCATGTCTTTTAGCCCTATTTGAAAAAAGTGTTGTCTTCTTCATGTCCTCTTATCTGTGTTTTTTGCTTGCACAGCAATGGCCAAATACACTGGATGTTGTATGTGGTCTGGAATTGAGTGTAGGCTGACATACAAGTCTTGACCACAGAGCGGCTAAAAGCCTGGCATCTCCCTGCTTTTTCCTCAGTAGGAATGATATGAGGATCATTGTCCTGTTCCTCAGAACAAATCTTAAAGAAAATTTTGGAAACTTCATATCTCCACCCTACTGATAAACTTGGTTCAAACTGGCCATATAGAAATTAACAGTGAGGAAGAATTGGCAGGTAGATAAATTTATGTAGAGCTGCAGAGACAGCACAGATGCATAACCTTCACTTCCTTAGGTACATGTGGTAAGAATATACTAGAGAGAGGACCTGTAATGAATATAATCTGGTTTATAGGGGTTGTCATAATTTAGAAGGGTTAGGGATCTGATCTGATGATTCATGCCTCTTAGCGTTTACTGTTCTCACATTCTGTAGAATATACTGTCTTTCTAAAGACACATACAGCTGATCACTTGTAAATACAAGATGTACAAAACAGAATTTTCCAAGCGATTAAAACCCTTGTGTTTTGAAATAAAAATAAATAAATCAAAACTTGAAAAATATTAGTGACATTGAAAGTCCATCTTATAGGGAGTCCTATCTCAGACAGTGGCTCAGAGAACCTACTCTGATCCTCATTTTTTTGTAATCAGCACCAAATTTCCATAGGTTCCCATACACCTCCAGAAGCAGTAGGCACTGCAGAGGTATTCTCATAACACATTATCATATTAGAACCATTTTTCCCCTTCCATCCTCTGACCTCTGCAGTTGCAGACCCTTTAATCCTGCCTCGTATCTTCTTTTTAACCTATTCTTGTGTTTTTGTGACTGCCTACTACTAGGGAAGGTTTTCAGTCTTTACTGTTGGTGAAGAATTGTTCTCCTCCTCTCTTTTTGGTCCTGGGTGTCCTTGGGCACACTTCAGAAAAAGAAAACTTCTGTGGAAGTCCATTTGTTTTTGCTATCCACATGGACTACAGCTGTTAACATGGATTTGAAGTTTTCTGTTATATATAAACAGCTCTTTCAAAGAATTACTCATAATAGAAATATATTTAAACTGCATGTTCCTAACATTTTTTTTTCACTGTTATGGCCTTTCAGGATGCTTATAATAAAATGGGAACAAACTGTCCTCAGAAATTCTGTAAAGCATATATAAAAGTTTGCCCCTTCTTGTAAAATAGACAAGAATGCAGTACCAGGAGTCTTTCTCATAAGACCTTTGAAAACACTCAAAATAATAGCTCTTTCTACGATTGTCTTAATGTAATTATTAATTTTGCTTCTTGAGGTACAAATTACAGCAAGGATGGTGGGAGTCAAATTGTTCATCAGTCAGTTCCTCGGTGCTTTACTTCTACTATTTTCCAATGAATAGACTTCGAATTTTATTGCCTCAGTTCTCCTTGGAATTTGTTGTAGTTATTTGGCTGCTTTCTTTTCCAAGTCATGACCTTATGGCAACTGCATACTAAAAGAATCATTAAATCACCTGCCAAAGGTAGGAGATTCATGAACTCTAGAGGGAAACATTTCAAAAATGTCAGCTTATGGCACTTCCTAGTACAAAATATAAGAATGACCACCTTGAAAACAATTTGGAAGAACAATGTTGAGAACAATCTCAATGCTTTGAGAATGTCTCAGTTTTGAAAACAAAATGTGAAGCTTATGCAGTTCCTCTCTCTCAAAACAGTAATAAATTTTTTCTGCAGATAAACATACTTAAAGATGACCAGGTCAGTTAATTGTGCTTTAGAACATCTTATTCATTCTGGGACAGATATTTGATTATGTATTTATGGACTTGTTCCAAGTAAAATTTTCTGTTAATATCAGGTGGAATTGTCATCGTAATAGGCTTGTGACATCAGCAGTATCTTCTGGAGACATTTTTCCTCAAAGACAATACTGAATTCCATTCCCTGACTCTGTTTTACTCTGTTTCAAAAATGGTATCTATGTTGCTGCATTTTACTGATTGCAGATTCTGACAAACCTATGTTAGTCAAAAGGAAACTATAGCCAAAACTGACCATTTTTTACAAGGGTCCTAAGTAATATGAAAGTGATGTTAGAGGAGATCTCAGTTTTATTTACTCCCTTTTATGGCTGTTTATTTTAAATCACAGTCCAGTTGCAATTTAACAAACTAAATGTGGAAAAAAAAAAATGCAATTGATAAAGTATTAAATAAAAACTATTTTATATTTAGTTGTTTCTTTCTAAATTGTAGCCATAAGAGCACTGAAGCAATTTAAAGGCAAGAGTAATTCTTCTAGCAAGAGAGAAGTTGGTGACAAAGGGAAGGAGAAGAAAGATTTGGAATATCAAAGAACAAAGAAGAATCGACAGTTTCCAAAAATATGGCTAACAAAGTACTCCTGGTTAAAATATGATGATGAAAAGGGAATAATGTTCTGTGCATTGTGTCGCAAGCATAATGTGGATTTGGGGGAAAACATTCATAATTTTTGTTCTGGCACTGATGACTTCAAACTTGAATTTATAAATACACACCAGAGTAGTGAAGCTCATGCCTGGGCTACCTGCATGGAAGCTGCCAGTACTGCCTCACCAAATAGAGCTTCTGCTGAGCAGATGTTGAAGAGTATGAACTCCATAACATTAGGAAGAGTAGAAAATATTTTTAGAACATGCCATGCTATTGCTAAGTCTGGTCGTCCCTTTACAGACCTTGACTGGATGTGTAAACTAGATGATATGAAAGGAGTGGATATTGGTTCTGTATTTAGAAATGACAAGTCAGCAAGAATATTTATACATTTTATTGCTGAAGTAGAAAGAAGGGCTCTAAAAGAGAAACTGGAGAAATGTAAATTCTTTTCTCTCATTAATGATGAAGTCACAGATAGCATATTCAAAGCAGCTGCAGTTGTCTACGTGCGCTTTGCAAATGAAGGAAAAGTCCATTGCCAAATTGTTGGAGTTCAACCTGTTCAAAAAAATGATGCTTCAAGTATAAAAAATGCAATTGAGGAAATTTTAGAAATAAATCTTAAGCTCAATCTGGGAAACCAAGACTGGTCAAGAAAATTAGTTGGGTTTGGAAGTGATGGGACAGATGTCATGACTGGAGAAAACAATGGGGTAGCTGAGCTTCTGAGGGAAATTCAGCCTTGTGTACAGTCTGTGCATTGTTTTGCTCACCGCCTAAAGCTGGCTTACAAAGGAGCACTGAAAAATATTCAGCTATACAACATCTTAACCAATGGCTTGAGAAATATGTATTATTTTTATCATAACTCACCTCTAAATAAGAATAATCTCAAAGCCACATATGAAGCCATCAAGATACGCCCAGCAATTCCTTCTCGCATTGGAGGCTCGCAGTGGCTTCCTCGTCTACAAACAGCTCTACAAATTCTCCTTAAAGGATATCCTGCAATTGTTCTACATCTGAGTAAGGTAACTGATTTAAAAATTGGATGTAAATTTTGGAAAAATTAATTGCTATGGTTAATTTTGGTCCACCTACCTAATACATCTTGTTTCCATATTGATTTCCAGATTGAAAAGGATTCAAGAGCCTCAAACAGGCAGAAAGTCAAAGGACTTTTACACTTCCTTCTGAAAATGGAGATAGTCAAGTTTTCCCATTTCTTGTTGGATGTCATCAATGTCCTCAACATTCTGTCACGTGTTACTTTGGATCACAACTCCTCCATTGCAGATATATTTGCAACCGTGCAGTCAACAGTGGAAACACTCCACATGTATCAAACAAGGTCTGACATTTGTAACGACTGAGTCCTGATCTACTACAATCTAGCAAAAGATTATTATATACCTTTTTGTATTTTGAATCTTTTAGAGCTGGTCCAAAGGAACGCCTGATGGAGACCATTCAACACTTTCATGGTCACCAGCTTGTTGGGAATGGAAATATTTCAGCAGTACGAACCAAAGTACTGAGTAATTTGGTGAAGAGGCTACGTAATTGTTTCTGTGATGCAAGTCAAGATGTCTTAAGAGCAACTACTATTGGAAGTTTTAAACTATGGCCTGACAAAATGAGAGAAGGTATAGAACTATGATAGTGGCTAGTTGAAGAAATGCACATTCTAAGTTTTTTGTTTTTTTAAAGTACAAAAATATATTTCTGTTGCCTCTGTTATAGAATTTGGTGAAAAGGAAGTGTCTGTCTTGACGAAACATTATGAAGTTGTACTAGAAGCTGCTAGTGTGAAAATCAATGAAGTTGAAACTGAATGGAGCATGTTGAAATTAGAGCTATATAACAGGTAATAAGAATACTGCATTTGCTTGTGTTTATTGATTAATTTAAAAGGATTATGGAAATACATTTAGGAATAGGTATAATTATACTTTTTACTATTTTTTAGATTTCAGAACATCCAGACCTTGACATGGGATTTGGTGAACTCAGATTATTCAAAGAAGTATCCCAACATCCTGACATTGGTAGATTTGATCCTAACTCTGCCAGCAAGTTCAGCTGAGACAGAGCGAGGCTTCAGTCAAATGAAATTCATAATGATGCATCTGCACTCTAAACTAGTGTCTGAAAGTGTGACAGATCTCATGACAATTCAGATGAACTCTCCAGATATCAAAAAGTTTGACCCCAAGAAAGCTATTCATTTGTGGAATAGTAGTTGGCAGAGAAATAGAAGACTGCAGGAAGGTGATGTGATGACAAATGAAAGATCAGATTGCTCCTCTGAGTTTGATATGGAGAGTCACTGTGGAAGTGATTAGATGAAAATTCCTAGTTTTTACTTTGCAGTCACTCTTTTAACATACATGGACACTTTAGTAATGTATCTTGCAAGATGAAGGAATGTGAAATTTATATTTTTTCATAACGTTACAATTTGAAAATTTGGCTCTTCTTTCTGTATTCACTGCTGAATCAACATCATATTTGCCAGTCATTACCTGATTCCTACAAATCTGAAAAGAATGAACAAAAAATGTCAAGTACATTGGGGCTGTTATGGACACCTGGACAGAGTAACTGGACTGGTAACTACCTGGTTGTTGCATTTAATCTGAGTCATTGACACATTTATATCCACTGGAGTTAACTGTTATCTTGTTATTTAATGGTTCAAGAAATTTTATTGATTCTGAAAATCCTGTTTTTTTGATAAATATATGGAAAGTTGGTGTATTATTGCTGTCTAATGATTGCTTGGCCTCTGTGGCCTATGAATTTTGTGTCACGCCTTCTCTCTGTATGTGTTGCTACTCTTTAATCTCTTGTGGATAATGTTTAACATGACCTTTCAGAGATATTTGTCAGACTTGTCCTTCAGAAGATTCCTGAAGAGGCAAAGCAGATCCATATTCCATTGCTGTTTATTTATTACATAAATCAGCCTTCGCATAATACATAATATGATAGCCAGGATATGACCAATATACTTCACAGATTAAACTGCTGCTTTTTCCTGTAAAAATGTTTCAGTGAAGGATGTTATAAGAACTCTATATGTTGATTTTTAACCTACGAGTTGAGAATGAGAATTGTTCAGAAAAGTTTCAAATTTCATAATTTGCCACTATCCACATGTTTTAAATGCAACTTCCTGCTTGGTAAGTTCTAATCAAGGCAAAGAATACCAAAAGAATATATTTTGAGAAAGCTAAAGTGAAATCATTAAAGACTTTTCAAACAGTGATGAAGATGAACTATAAATAATTCGGGAGAAACAAATTTGAGGTCATTCACCTTTAAATCAACCCTTTTCTAAGTTGAGATCCAACATTCTACTTTCAATATAATACGTTTATAGTAATTGCAGAAGGTATGTTATTTATATAGTCATTCTGAGTATTTTGCATATGTATTCATGCTACTTGTAGGTCTAAATATTTGCCTACAACAGAAATAGAGTACATTTTGAATGCATAGCTCATTAAAGTATGATAATACACACAAGCTGAGCTAAGCTGTAGGGAGCAGAGCAAGAAATCAGCACTGTGCTTTATATGGTATATTATAAAAGATGCATCATTGAAGTATGTGCATTTGTGATTTCTCAGGTAACGGAAATGTGTAGTTACATTTTACCTAATAAGCAAGAAGATAGATATTACAGATATTACTTTCTTAGATATATGGCATAACTAATTCTAAGGATTTTCTCATAAGTCTCATAATACCGTGGTTTTTCCCTTGAAGTTTCAAGTGAGGAAGTTCTAGCAATGATGAAGTTAAAAATTTTTTGGAATGTCCAAGAGCATAAGACAAAACAAACAAACAAATAAACAAAACAAAACAAAACAAAAAACACCATAGCAAATAAAACTGTATTTTGAATCTATCTATCTGAATCTATTTATTCAAAGTCAATTCCATGTTGCCTGAGGGCAGCATCTCCTATTTTATTGTTTAGTGTTTAGACTGAAGATAATGGATTTACTGCCCTCATCAGTGAAATCTCTAAAAAGTACTTGTAAAGGAATATTAAAAATCCTGCAATGAAATAAGACCAAGTCACACAATTTGTAGCCAGTATTTGCCCATGCTTCTGTTCTGATAAGTTTTTAAAATAGTTCACTCTATATTTTTACTAATATCTGAAATGTTTTTGTGGAAAAGAAATTTGATTTCCTCTCATACTTCTCAGTTTTAACTGGAGAGGAGTTTATCACTATCTTCTTTGTAATACTTGATTTTAACTGGAACACTACTCCTGTTTACTTATAATGTTCCTTTTGTAGATGAAATTAGCAGAACTGCTTCCATATTTTTTCTCATATTTTCTAACTCTGTAATTATTCTTGCTGCTTTCTTCTGAGTGCTTTTCAATTTCCATGCACCCTTCTAGATCTTCAAATTCCAAGATTGCATGCCAGCAGAAAACTTAAAAAACAAATAGAATACAAAGTTTGTTTCCAGTATCTTTACATGTACTTTTTGGCAATATTGTAATCAACTAGATCCCTAGAGCCTTTTTTACAGAACTGGTACTTTGGCAGTAAGATTCTGTCTGTGACATTTATGCAGTTCATTATTTCAGCACAGTATAGCACTTACTATTTATTTGTATTGGATAGTGTTCTTTTTATCCCAGTCTATACCTCCAATTTGTAAAGTTCACTTTGAATTGTAATTCCGTTCTTCAAAGTGCTTGAAATCTTTTCCACATTGTTTTTATCTGCAATGTAATGAACACAGTTTTTGCAGACTCTTTCCTCAATGCACTTTGACTTGTTTTCAGTGAAAAGACTTACTGGTCTTGACTATCTCTCCACTTTTCAAAAACTCTTTGAATTCTGATTCTTTTTCCAAAATGACTGTTATCCCTTCTAATTAAGACAGTATCTACACATTTAATACATTTATTTTCTATTCAGTCATTTATGTCACTCAAGAAATATGTTTTTTCTTTCTTTTTTTTTATTATTTTTTTTTTTTATTTGGACTTACTGAATGAAAAGATTTTGTGAAGAGCATATGTGTTTTGAAACCATTCCTGTTAGATGGACAAAGCAGATTCTGGGAATTGTTTTCTCATTCTATCCCAGAGGACACTATTTCCTCCTACCACTTGCAGAGCCCCATTTGGGAGCACCAGTCTTCTTTTCTCAGCACCATCTGTGTGGCTGCCCACTCAGCATCTCACCCTGACTGTTGAGCAGTTCTGTGGCATTGGCAACCCCTGAAGAAAACTGACTAATTTGACATTTAAAAATAGTTCCATATAAAAATAAATACATTGATTCTAGACTAAATATCAAAAAATACATTGAAGACATTTATTTGATATCTCTTTATATCAAATAAAGATATAAGGCATTTTCTCTCTCCCTCTGAACCTCCCTTGTTCCACCTAGGTATGTGACGAGGGGGAATTAGGTTGTGCTACATTTAAAATTTTTGAACTATTATACCATTTAAAAAATATTTCAGAATTGTGCCACATCAGAGATTTCATGAGGAGCTAATTTAAGAAATTATCCCACAACACATTATCAATTATAGAATTAGCAGATAGAAAGTAGCTTAACTCTGAATAAAAGAGAAGAGCCTCCTTAGCTCTACCATAGAGAAGGAAAAATGGGTAGATGCTACAAACCACCTGAGAGTGCTTAAACTTAATCCCACAATAATTTATTAGTTTGTTTCAGCTTACATCAACTAAAGTCAAGTTTACCTATAAACTATGTTCTAGCATATTCTATGATCCAATCAAATTTCTGTAAGTAGTGATTAATGGTTTAGTTGCCAGTCCTTTAACCCCATTTCAGGAATTATCTCTTGATTCAAGTTCTTTAATTTCCTTGCCCCTAAAATAGTTTTTAGGTATGTTTCTGAAGTCAAATAGTCTCGCAGAAAGTGACGTGAGGATATTTGTATCTTTCTGGAATTGTATGCAGAAGCACATAGGAAATCCAGGAGCTGCATTTTTAATTGTTACATAGGGAAATCATAGTAGGAATTCAACAGTTTAAACCATAAGATACAGTGAGAGAAAGAAGTTTGCAAATTTCCAGAGTAGAAGGGATGAGATGTGAAAATTAGTAAAATAAGAAATAAAAATGATGATAGCTGGACTTCACATAGTAAAGCACTGGACATCTTGGAACTTCAAGTAAGATGTAAAAACTTACATTTATTTTCATATTATTTTATGAAATTATTTTCATAAAAACTTTTTTTTTTTTTTTTTAACTCTTATTTTCATATAAACTTTTTACTGCCTCCTTTGTGGACCATAGCCTCTTCTCCCCATGAACAAGTAAAGAGTTTCCTAGAATAGAGGTAACTAGTACTTAATCTTCTATGGAATCTCCCAATAATTATACGTTTGTGATGTAGGCTTTATTGTGCCTTATGGAAATGATCTGATTCTTGTGGCTTGAAGTACACATACAAGTTTCTGATCACCTTCAAGTAATTAAATCAACAATTCACTGTGTTTCAGTAAACAGCCTAACACACAGGACTTTAAAAATATGTTCTTTCTCAAAACATATAAGTCAAAAACCTTCAGGAGGTGATGTTATTGCTGTTAGCACTCTTATCTGTTTGACAATGTTTCCCTAGCTTTTGCTTTCATGCTGAAATTTATGGTAGAATTTATGGCTTTAAGTCCAGATGTTTCTTCCTTCTTCTTTTCCCAACAGACTTTAAGCTAGCCAAATCTACTTTTCCTTTTCTCTCCAAGCTTATATATAGATGTTTGTTTTTTTCCCGATGTATTAAGAAGTGCTGAGGGCTTAACTCCTGATTTCAGAATTGGAGGCAAACAGCCGAGAGCGCAGACCTACTAAATCAAATTGGCAACTGGACTTTGAATGCTCACACTATGAAATTAATATTCTAGTATATTCTATATATTTCTACCACTTAAATCTTTTTCATAAACTTAACAATTTTTACTTCACTGTTCCACTTCAGAGATAATAGAATGGTTTGGATTGGAAAGGACCTTAAAGACAAAAGCTTTTAGCTGTAGAACATACATAATGGCTCCTTTCAAAAAGGATAAAGTTTGGCTGCATTACGGAAAAAACTATTAGACTTTTTTTCCTTCTTGTTTTTCATTGTTTGTGTTTGCTTTATAATCTGAAAACTTACTGTCTTGACCTTCCAGAAGTGATCATAGACTGACCAAATCAGTCTTGTCTCTTAAAATTTCATTTGAAACTTTCTTTACATTTTTTTTTGTCTTTACTGCAGAGATTT